AGATATGAGGTAAGCCGTGACGTGAAGCTGTCAAACCATCAAACAAAGAGAAAATTCGTGAACCATTTGACCACGCGATGGAAATGGGGGGGGGAAATGGGATTCTTTATACGTAAACGAAACAAAAGCCACGTCTGGGCCCCGAGCGGCGGATTCCCGATGGGTCTCGGGAATACACCCGCAGAAAAAAACCGCTGCGTCGGGAATAAATCGGGAACGTCCGCTCGCCCCCGAACCAGTTTCGATTTGTAACACTTTGGGCGGGTCAGTCCACTATTCTTAGCCTCAAATGGCGTTTTCATTGCATAATCCGTTCCACGGGATTCCTCGTGTGCGACTCAGGTTGGTCTTGGAGAGGGATATTAATAATTGAATGGTCTGGGGGAGCAATATCCGTTAACTTACCGCCAGTTGTGCCCATGCGTTGAGACTCGGGAGTCGGGATGATCCTGGAATGCTTGATTGTTCCTGAGCCTGCTGGTCCAATGGGCTGGGTTCCTGGGTTGGTCAATTGAATTGGATTCCTTGCTTGGAGGGATAAAGCTGATTGGTTTGGGTGGGAGATTCTCCACTTGCTTATTTTCTAGCGAGCTGGAGCTGGAGGGTAAGGTTGGCCTTGTGACTGGGTTGAGTCGCGTGGTTTTTCATCGCCGCTAAGGTTAATGTTAGCCCTAATCTTCTTCACCCAAAGAATGATCAACAAGTCTACTTCGCTAGACTTAGTGGTGTTGGCTTTATCTCTATCGAATGTCCTAGCAAACTTTTCTGCAAGTCTCATACAACATGTAAATAGCTTCGCTTGCCGGACATCAGCGTGGTGAGGGGAATAGGCAGCTCATCAGTAAATGGCGACCGCAAATTACGCAGAATGAAGCCTGAACCATCTTCAAAGGAGCTCGAAACTACGCCCAGTGCTCCAATGTACAGCGAACATCCTCTGCTCTGCAGTCAAGTTTGAGACATGGACTTGATGAAATAGAATTGTACCACCATAAGGCGAATCAACACCAATGAGCTGTTCATGCCTTGAAGATGGCCTTGCTGCAAAGATTAGTCTTCAAGCATCGATATGGCCACACTGGCAAATTTCATGTTTGGTTTTGGCAGCCACTGACTAACTGCGCATTGATCTGGAATCCTCATGTAACCCGCCTAAGCGCAAGTTACCTCTGCAATGATATAGTGCGCTCTCTTTGTCAAGGTGAGTGGTCATCTGCTGGTGATGATGCCGAGTGAAGATGCAGCCGCCCGAGGTCGGGCCGTAGATCGTGCGACCATGTTTGACTCATAGCAACGACAACATGAGACAATAGCTGTTGAATGTCGTTATGGCATGGATCCATATTTTGTGAATTGGGCCCATGTTTATTGAAGATGTGATAGTCGCTGGGTTGAAGTGGCAGTGCTGTTGGAGGAGACCCAGTATACAACCCAGGTGCCCTTGGGGTTATGGCAGACTAACGTTCACCTCTGAACGGGTCGGCTAACCATTCTATCGGTCAATTGCTCTGAAGGAAGAGGCTGGAGAGGAACTGCTCTCGGGCTGATCAGACTGACGTGCCTTCCTTGTAGGGGCTTTCCCGTTTTTGCTGTGTCCTGAAAAAGCACCCTGCGCTTGAGTATAGATTTTTCTTGAGTGGTCAGTTGTGATCTTCTGTATCACCGTGTTCTAGTGGAAATAGTCATCGCTGTGGTAGGGTGCTTGATTCTACTAGGTACTAGGTGGTGTTCAATGCGGAACTATTTGGAGAGGGAGTGGATGTGGATTTATGTACGGAGTATTGCTAATAGTATCTCTGACCAGTGCAGACTTCTTCATCGCCTATCTTGAATTCGCAAGGGCAGGGATTGCTCCGAAATTAGGGTGTGACGTATTTAGTCAGAATCTAGTCCCAGTCATCCCTGAAAATGATCATCTAAGCACCGAGGTACTTGATTGATCCTCTTAATTGGTCCGTAGCTCGACTAATCGCACCGGCGGATGCGCTACTAGACAAGTGGATCAGACAGTGAACACTGACAGGTCAATTCACTCCCGAATATGCAACTATATCAACGGGGAGAGCAAGATACGCAACCCCTCTCCGCTGTTGAGGTACAAGTACCCCTCATTTCTGACACTTGTAAACATGCCACATCCCATCGTCGCTCACTCCCTTCCCCATTCCAACCACAACCCATCCAACACCCACAACGATGACCACCCCCCCAAATCACGCCCTCGTCTTCGGCGCCTCCGGCATAATAGGCTGGGCCTTCGTCAACGAGCTCCTGCAAGACTACCCAGCGCCCAATACCTTCTCCCGCGTCACAGCCTTCACCAACCGCCCGCTCTCCCCGAGGATCTCGCAATGGCCCCCCTCCGACAAACTGCACCTAATCTCCAACCTCGACCTCATCCACACCGACACAACCAGCCTGTCCACATTCCTGCAATCACACGTCCCCGATATGGGAACAGTCACAACCGTCTACTTCTGCGCCTACATCTTCTCCCCGGACCCGGCCAAAGAAACCGCCCTGAATATCCACATGCTCCGCAGCACAGTGCAAGTGCTTGAATCTCTGTGCCCTAATTTCCGGATGCTCGTGCTCCCCACGGGCGTTAAGGTGAGCCGCCCTCAACCCCTTTCCCTCTTCCCCTTAGATCAACACTAAGGAAAGTAAAGGCCTACGGAGTCCACCTCCTAACCGCCTTCCCCTTCGCCACGCACCTCCCCCTCCGCGAAACCCACCCACCCCTCCCCGAACCGCACGCCACGCGACTCTTCTACACGCACCAACACGCCCTCCTCCAGGACCTCTCCACCCAGAAGAGATGGAGCTACATCGACCTCCGCCCGGACATCGTAGTGGGCTTCGTGCCCAACAACAACCAGCACAGTCTCGCGCAGTGGCTGGCCCTCTACCTGAGTCTGTACCGGTACATCCACGGCCGCGGGGCGGTGGTCCCGTTCCCTGGCACGGAGAAAAGCTGGACCGCGCGGGCGCAGGATAGTTCGCAGGATCTGATTGCCCGACTTGGCATTTTTCTATCCTTAAAGTCAAAGGGGGAGGTCGGGGGCCAGAGTTTTAATGTGGCTGATACGAAAACGCCGGGGACGTGGGCGGGGAAGTGGGCGGTTCTGTGTGAGTATTTCGGGTTGGTGGGGGTAGGTCCTGAGGAGGGGGAGGGGCCGGATCCGGCGGAGTTTTTGCTACAGCATCAGGCTGACAGGGGCGAGATGGCGAGGGAATACGGGTTGAAAGGCGGGCATGGGACGGCGGAGGATGGGGTGAGTCTCAGCCATGTGCCGGGTTTCTTGATGAAGGGGTTCGATTTTGATCGGCCGTTGGATTTGGGGAAGATGCATTGCGTGTGGGGAGATGCGGCGGAGGAGAGGGATGCACGGGAGACGTGGTGGACGGTCTTTGATCGGTATAAGGCTGCAGGGATTATTCCGGATTTCAAAGGGTGATTGTATCCACTTGTGTATCATGTATAGGGTGTACTGAATATCATGTGTGAACGGCACAGTATGTGCGGTGATAAGGCGATAGGCGAGGTTGAAGGTATAGGTACAGGCTAATGCCCACCCCGTCTCTCCTTGGCCAACTTCTCCCTCACCGGCGCAAAGATCCTCTCCACCACCTCCGGCGTATGCGCCGCGAAGTACGGACTGGGCGTGATGTTCCACTCCGGCACCACGCGCCGACCCTCGGGCCCACGCGCCCATATCTCCACCACCGCGCCTCCTCCGTATTCCCCCGCCTCGATCAACTGGAACAGACACTCGGCAACATCGGCCGGTTCGAGCAGCTCCTTATCAACGAGGGAGTACTGTTCCATCGCCGCCGGGCGGTCCGTGAATAGCGGCGTTCGCACGGCTCTGTCCCCGGTATTAGCACGTCATCCTCTATCCTAGCTCAACCCAAATCCTTCTTTCAACCGAAGGGATAGACATACCCCGGACAAACAGCCGTGACCTTCACCCCCTCCATCGCCTCATACGGCGCCATGGCCTTGACAAACCCCCAAACCGCATGCTTAGCCGCCGTATACAAGGGCGCCGCCGGCGCCGCAGCAATTCCCGCCAGGGACGAGACGCAGCACACGACGCCCTTCTTGTTCGCGCGCAGCAACTCACGCATCGCGATGCGGGTCAACTTGATGGGATGGTGGGCGTTGATCTCCATCGAGGCGTAGCCGTTCTCTTCCGTGTCGTCCCAGAAGTTGGACCATTCCTGTCAGATCTTATGTTAGTCGTTGGATTGTGGGCTTTTGTCGGTGGGGAGCGGGGGAACCGTACAGGGTCAAAAACGCCCGCGACGGGGATATACACATCGGGTACATCGCCCCATTTGTCCAGGGAGGCACGGATTAGAGCTTCGAGGTCGGCCCAGTTGCGGACATCGCAGGGTTGGAAGAGGATTGCGATGGTGGATGTGCTATTTACAAAGGTTTCAGCTGCAGGGGTCAGTTTGAGGTCCGCGATGATGGTCTTGGCGCCTTTGGAGGCGGCGACTTGGGCGGCTGCTAGACCGATGCCTGGCACTAAGTCAGATATTGAAGCTTAGAATAAGAGGGGTGTTGTCCATGCAGGGTAATTTCATCTTACCAGATCCGCCGCCGGTGATCAAAACGATCTTGTCTTTGACGGGGAAGTCTCCGAACATGGTGCTGAGGTGAATGAGGTTGCACTCGTAGTGCAGAAGATGCGGGGTTTCTAGGACCTTTTATTCAGCCCAGCAAGATGCAGTTCCAAGGCTTTACAAGGTGGATCCTGAACTAGCGTCGATGCAGGGATTGTCGATTGCGTCCATCGGCAAATCATCCTTCTTTGGCACAACTTAAGACATGCACGATGAAGCACGACATGAGTCGCACCAATCAAAAGCAGCCACTTCACCAACCCCTCATCATGTGGTTCAATCACTGGAGGGCATGTATCTAGAGGAGTCGATACAAATACTCTAGATTCTCTAGACTAATTGTCGGATTATGCGATGGCGACGACAAAATATCTGTATAGTCCGCGTCGAAATTGAATAACCCATCCCCGTGCTGCACAGGGTCATCCCCGGTTGGCAGTTTCGGGGACGGATAAATCGGGTGCAATGAGTCGGATTGCAGATCAGGTGGAACGGCCGCAGGTCCCTCAAGACGCATGGCTAACGGCCGGGTGGAACCAGTTGAAGTACTCTTGTAGCAGGAGTGCACAGGTACTCGGTGAGGGGAAGGAAAATGCGCCGTCTGCTTGGAGTTGGTGTTCTGTTCGCAGCTTGCGAAAGCGGAGGGCTTCGTCGCGCGCGTGCGAGACATTTGAGCGCCCGGGGATGGGGTAACAGAGACGGGTCTGTGAAGTGGTGGTGGTGGTCCATGTGTCTGGGGATGCGTGATGGCCCTCGTCGATGACGACGGTGAGGGGGCTGGACTCGCCCAGGAAGACGGTCTGGTGAGTGTCGTCTGCATGGTCGGATATCAGCGGGGCCATGGAATTGCCGAGGTAATCTATGTGTGATAGATCGTGCTGTTCATTTGCTAGTGATGAGGGTCCTTTGCTGTCTTTGATGATGTGGGATGAAGGTGAATGCGAATGCGAAGGCGCCGAGGTCTTGGGAGTGTGTCGGACAGTCTTCTTACGGGCGTACCTTATTGGAGATTAGCAATGCCGCAAATTGATTAGAACAATTGGAGATAGAACTCACTTTCCCCGTTTTGACACGCCAATCGTGCAGGGAACGTTTGTGGCAATGCAGTTGTGGCACGGGCATGTCTCCTGCACATTGCAGCGGATGCGCCGGCGGTTGCAGTGGAGACACGCCTGTTTGGCACGGGATCGGGGCTGGTGTGGAGTGGAACTGTCCTGAGAAGGCATCTTTAGAAATTGTCATTAGAGCATAAGTGGGATTGGGGTTTGTGAAAGAAGAGAGGAGAGGAGAGGAGTGGAAGAAAGAGAAAGCATACAGCCGGAATAGCTAAGTCGGCATCTTGTCAGTTGGCCGGTGCGGCATTCCTCGGCGTAAAGCCGGACAGCCGATGTATGACGCCACACAATCATCCCTTCAGGCTTCAGGGTCTGATTGGGATATGAGACGGCTGAAACCTCGGTCAACATAGCCGATCGGTAACACGGAGAGCATAGTTCGTATCGGCTATATGGTGTGAATGCCTGAGGCAGCATCCCCGCATTTGTGGTTTCAAGTATCCAGCTTCAGCATTTGACTGTTCACTTCGACATTCACGGCGACGGACAGCTGTACATGTCACAAGAATAGGAATATTGGTAATTAACGGTTGATCAAAAGAGGGGGTCATTCGGCAGGTGCAACAGTTCATACCTGATATCTTCGATGTGAGGATGTTGCTCAGAGAGGGTGCCAAGTAGGAAGATTACTGCGGCAAAGGCTGAACGAGGTTGTACTACGCAGCTCAGGCAGACGAAGGGGCAGCGCTGTTGTATCAAACCTGCGCATAGCTCGGTCCTGATGACCCTCTGCTTTTGTTTGTCCGGAACCCGTAGCATTTCGGACGCTGCACGCAGATCTTTCACGGGCCGACAAAGGTGGACGTGGACGCATCCCCCTACTCTACAAGGCTATCCACAAGAAGAATTGGGGTTTGGCACTATGACTTCCCAATGAAGGAGTGGACGTGATGGATGGATGAGAGATTCATAAGAGATTCCAAACTGCCTTTCGCGAGAAACAAGCTCCGAAAGCTCATGATGCACTGCCTGAAAGCGCAAGTCCTGAAAAGAGACAGGTCAAGTCACGCTTACAACAAACGCACGGGTGCTGGCTTGCACAATGAAGTTCCATCCTTGATACCCTTAGTTTCTGATACTATCGCCATTGTCTTGGTCACAACATCACATGACTGCATATGAACCAACTACCATACGCGATTCTTTTAATCAAAGTGTCTTGATCTGATGTCGAGTTTCCTTCCCTGGTGAAGATATGGGCTGAAGTACTGGCTACGCGATACAGAGTGTATGCCTGAGGCAGCGATCCTGCATTGTCGTTACAAGCTGGGTCGTTTGACAACCCTGATACCAGCTCGCCAAGCAGATCGACCGGCATGTTCTTGGCGCTAAGATATCATCATATTGATCATCGACTCGCGTTTGGGGCTTGGCCTGCTACTTTTGCGCCCTTCGCCATTCGGAAGGACTATTCACTGAGGGACTGTGCCTCAACAATATTCCCGTCGCTGCACGTTACTGTTCTCATGAAATATGTTGGGAATGCTTCTTCAAGTTCTCGTGTACCGACAATATCTCCCTGTTTGAGTAGACTGCTGGAGTTTTCTGAAAGCGCAGTACGTTGCCCGCGTGTCGGGATGTGCTCAGGAAGAATGTGCTAATTCATCGCGTATGAAATGGCTGGATAAAAGGCTCTGCAAAAGCGATAGCAGAGATGCGCTTTGGATGTCCTCGATATCTAAGATCGAGTGAGAGCATTGGTCGTATCATTCCCGGATTTTAATTCATTTATCCGCACCACACCGGGTACTCGGTCTGCGATACCGTCTGAGATATATGTTCATTTCGACAGCCCAACTGTTTCGGTAAACCACTCAGAAACTTGATGACAAAGAACCAGCGAGTACTTTGCACACTCCATTCCTTCAACTAACTCACATGCACAAGTTCCTTAGGATAGACTTGGCATTAGCTACAGAACAAGTTGATTTCTAATATCCGGGGTCGGCCTCAACTGCCGAATTAATAATAGACAGAGCCGTGGAATTACGCGATCCGCTCCCCACTTGGCGTGGACTGGCGTCATCCCGCGGTTATTAATTCTCCCCGCAACCCCTCAACTTCCCACCTTTCTTCCCCTTAACACCATCGCAAGAACATTCGCATTCACCAAAAAATGTCTCCCAAGATCACTCTATACACCAACCGCCTGTGCCCCTGGGCTCACCGCGCGCACATCGCCCTCATCGAGCTGGGCATTGACTACGAGGAGGTGACCATCGACCTGGACACCCCGCGTGAACCATGGTATCTTGAAGTCAACCCGGTACGGCCGCTTCCCCTACACTTCCCCATCCGCTCGATACTAACAGCCTTCAAGCGCGGTCTCGTCCCCGCCCTCTCCTACGACGGCACCATCATCCTCGAGTCCGCTATCATCGCCCAATTCCTCGTCGACGCCTACCCCTCCCACATCCTGCCCCCCTCCAACACCCCCGAGGGAGCTCTCAAACGCGCCCGCACCACCTTTTTCGTGGACACCTGGGCCAGCAAGATCTCGAGCCTGTACCACGCCACCCTGCGATCCAGCGACGCCGACCGCCGCGCCTCCAGCGACGCCTTCGTCGCGGCCGTGAAGAAGGAAATCGAGCCGCTGATCTACCCCGCCAACACCGCCGGCCAGGGCCCCTACTTCGAGGGCAGCGAGAAGCTCACCTTCGCCGAGGTGCTGCTGGGCTCGTTCCTGCTGCGCCTGTTCTCCCTGGCCAAGCCCGAGTACGGGCTGTTCCCCGCGGACCTGGTGCAGACGCTGGAGAAGGAGACGCCGAACTTCAAGCGGTGGGCGGAGGCGGCGATCGCGCACCCGAGCGTCAAGGCGATCTATGACGAGGAGAAGGTCGCGACGCGCACGGTCCAGCGATATGGTCAGAAATAGGGCGTGCGAGATGGGATGCGGCGCCAGGAGCGGCCGAGTTTGCTGTAGGGAGTGTGCAGGGCTGGGTCTGGTTTTTGTACTTGGTGTAAAATCAAGGTTCGGCAGAACCGGGAACGGTCTTGAGGGTCGAGTCCCGGTGCCTCCGTGGTGTAACCTTATCTTGCAGCCCGCTAAATACGCATTACTTCATTGATGACCTCAGTTGCGTCGGCGGTGGTCGGTGCTATTTATTTTGCACAGGCTAAGAAAATGTATAAACAACTGGCATCGGGCGGGTGGGGAGTAACACAGGGTAGAGTTTCCGCAAGATGAAGTCCACACCTCCCAGCGTGATTATCGTCGGTATGCTACCACTTCCCTCTCCGTTGGTATTGGATTTTCACATGGAATATTCTGTAGGCGCCGGCGCCGGCGGAATAGCGACCGCCGCCCGCCTGGCGAAACGAGGGTATCAAGTGACGGTGGTCGAGAAGAACGGTGCCGTCGGGGGACGATGCTCGTTGATCGAGGAGAATGGCTACGTTCACAACCCTCTCTGCCCCAAGCACCCACACACCACTAAAATGAAGGTGTAGCGCTTCGACCGCGGCCCCTCCCTCCTGCTCATGCCAGAATACTTTGAAGAAGTCTTCGCCGCCCTCGACACGACCCTCGCGGCAGAGGGGGTCGAGCTGCTGAAATGCAACCCGAACTACCGGATCTACTTCGCCGACGCCTCGCCCCCCCTCGATCTGTCCACCGACATGGCCGCCATGCAATCCGTGATTCAGAAGCATGAAGGCAGACCGGGATGGGAGCGCTTCCTGCAGTTCCTGGTCGAGGCAGGACGGCACTACAACCTCTCGCGACAGCATGTGCTGTACTCGAACTACCCGCACGTGTGGAGCATCATGAAGCCGGGGATGGTGCGCAACATCTTTCGGCTGCATCCGTTCACGAGCGTCTACGCGCGGGCGGCGCAGTACCTCACGTCGGAGCGGTTGCGGCAGGCGTTCACATTCGCGAGCATGTATCTCGGGATGAACCCGTTCGAGGCGCCGGGGACGTACTCGCTGCTGCAGTATGCCGAGTTTGTGTATGGGGTGTGGTATCCGCGGGGTGGGTTTCGACGGGTGAGTATACTTACTCAGAGACATATACCTAACTCACCAGCCCTAACTCCCGCATACATGTCCACGGTACTAACCAAGAGAAGGTCCTCGACGCTATCCACGCCATCTCCACCCGGCACGGGGCCACCTACCGTCTCAACACGCCCGTCTCGCACATCACCCTCTCCGCGGACCAGAAGACCGCCACCGGGGTGCAACTCACGACCGGCGAAACCCTAACCGCGGATACGGTCATCATCAACGCCGACCTAATCTACGCCTACACCCACCTCCTCCCGCCCACAGCATACTCCACCTCCCTAACCAGACGAGAAACCTCGTGCAGCAGTATCAGCTTCTTCTGGTCCTTCAACACGACCCTCCCTTTGCTCTCCGCGCACAACGTCTTCCTCGCGTCCGAATACAAACAAAGCTTCGACGCGATCTTCCACGACAAACACCTCCCCAGGGACCCAAGCTTCTACATCCACGTCCCCAGCCGGGTCGACTCCACCGCCGCCCCGGCCGGCTGCGACGCGCTCGTCGTCCTCGTCCCCGTCGGCAACCTGGACAGCTCGCCCTCCTCCCCTGACACCGCCACCGCAAAATCCCAGCCAGAGTACTGGGACAAGATCGTCACGCAACTCCGCGAAACAATCCTGACAACGATAGAGGCTCGCACCGGCAAGCACAACCTGCGATCCCATCTGATCCACGAGAAGCTGGAAACCCCGCTGACCTGGCGCGAGAAATACAATCTCGACCGCGGGGCGATTCTAGGACTGTCGCATTCGTTCTTCAATGTGTTGGGGTTTCGGCCGAAGGTGCGACATCCTGATATTAAAGGGTTGTTTTTTGTGGGGGCTAGTACGCATCCTGGTACGGGGGTGCCGGTTTGTTTGGCAGGCAGTCGCATTGTTTCCCAGGAGGTTGTCAGGGATTTTGAGGGGGGGACGGGGTGGGATACGCCTGGTTGGGGGGAAGCGAGAGGTCTGGGTTTGGTGGTGCTGGTGCTGGTGGCGGTATTGGTGGGGGTTTGGGTCGTGGGGTGGGGGTGGCCTGTTTTGCTATTGATTTAGGCTGGGTAGGGTGTTGACTTGTTGTTTGTTACTGGAGTTAGGGTTGGTGGCCCAACGGGATGGGGACAGAGGGTGGACAGTATACGCGTCTGCGAATAGCGTATCAAGTTGCACACAAACCCAAGAGAACTCGGTAAAAGCATTCATTTCTACGTAGAACAAGTTGTTCATGCTCCTACAGGCCCTCGCAGGCGACTACAACATCTCCACCCACGCAACCCTAACCCTCCTCCCTACCGGCAACCGCGTCTTTCTGGCCGTCTGCAGACTCTCCCCCCTCCGTTCCCGCAGATACCGTCCAATCTCTATATAGCTCTCCACCGTCGTGCGCACCGGCCCTCTTACCCCGGGCGGAAGCGCCTCAATCGCCCCCCGGGCCTGACCATACAACCTCTCCGCCTTGTCCAGCAATCTCTCCTGCATTTTGTACGCCGCCGGCGACCGTGGATCCTCCAGGATATCCGCCGGAGCGAGCCCCGTCTCCGCCAACCAGGTCGTCGGGATGTACACCCGCCCAATCGCCGCGTCGCGGTGGATGTCCCGCGCGATGTTGACGCACTGCAGCGCCTTGCCCATTTGCCGGCCGGCGTGGGCCATCGCCTCGCGGTCGTAGCGTTGGGGCTGGTTGTGGTGGTGGTGGAGGAGGTCGAGGACGAGCTCGGCGACGGTGCTGGCGACGTAGGTGGCGTATCGGTCGAGGTCGGGTTCTGTTGCCATCGGGAAGGTTACCTTGTGCTTTGCGGAGGGGGAAGGGGTTGTGAAAGCTAAGTCCATCTCGAAGCCTTTGAGGAGGTCGTAGAGGGGCTGCGTGGCCATCCGGGAGAGCGGGAGGGTTGATACTGCGCGGTGCAGAAGGTTCTGCTTGACTTGATCGTATAGGGGCTTAGGGCTGGGGCAGCGTGGTTGTTCCTGCGGTCGGATCCGCGCATCTAAGGCTCGCTGACACTCCGCGATCCAGAACCGTGCTTCCCCTTCGTCTTCGGCTTCGTCGATGAGATCGTCGATCACGCGGCAGAATGAGTAGCTAGTTTCTAGTTAACAGTGCTCATTAGAGGGTGGTGGGCAAGGTGTACACATTGATCAGATCCACCCGCACCGGTCCCTGGAACAGCGCACTCCCGACGAACATGCTCTGGCTCTTCTCGTGCAGCCGCGCGACGGCCTGCTGGAGGTCTGCAATAACAGAGGCTTGAATGGCCGGCGGGTGAATCACCGCCTGCAGGACGTCCTTCACCGCATCGTGCGTCGTGCTGGGTGCAACCCCCGTGCAGATGGTGGTGTACTCGGCCATCGCACAGGCGTAGTCGAACCCCACCAGCCCGAAGACGATCATCATATTTGTCACGAGGAAGAAAAGCATTTCCCTGTCCTTTCAGTAAGTTTGTCTCCAGATAGCAAGAAAAGGGAAGGGAGGTGTACTCAATCTCCAGCCCGACAACATGGACCCCCAATTGTGTTGCAGACTCAATCGACCACACGCCAGCGGCCATGGCGCTGCGATCTGCGACCCACAAGTACAAAGTCGGAAGGACGATCGGAAGAGCAGTCGCTTTCCACGGCAGACTGACGATGAACGGGGAGACCAGCATCCTGGCCATTGTTAATCCTCATCATGATTTGCGTACCCGTGAGAAAGGAGGAAGTCGCCAACCATTGAAGAATCACAACCGGTAAACTCCAGATCAAAATCAAGCCGAGATATGTGCCCTCTCCCCCAGATAAAAAGCAACCCATTCCGATCGCGGACAACACGACCAACCCCAGTCCCCCTAGATCCCGCGCCCGCCGCACCGGCTGCACGGGTAGGTACATGGGCAGCACCAGCGCCTTGGAACAGATGCAGTACACCAGGCTCGTAATGGAGGTCTGCAGGACGAAGAAGGCGACCTCCTCCAGCGGGATGTCGTAGAGTGTTCGGTTGAACGTGGCGTCCAGGGGATAGGACCAGATCCCGTGGCGGATGAGGTAGGAGTCCCATGGTATTGTGGCTGTTACCGCTAGCTAAAGGTCACCGTCAGACTCCATCCTGGAAGTGAAGGGAGGGAAAGGGGACTTACAATGTTCAGAAAAGTGATCTTGCAGATGTCTCTCCTCGTGAAGAACGGGTAGTAGAATATAGTGAGTAGGGCTGCGACCGGGATAGTGTAGGTGCAATGGCTTGGTAGTTTCTTCCTTAGCAAAGGTGACTAATGGTCGGATGTAAGCACTCACAACAACAGATACTGAACCCCCATGGTGATTGACTAGGTGCTCCGTCACAGTGGATGCAGTGGTGTTGACCCCCTAAATACAAGGGGGCAGGCGGTGACGAGTGTGACAGTGAAATTGTTGGCGTCATTGATGTGCTGTGATGCAAGGTCGCATCCATGCGGCAACGGCTGGGCTGGGGCTGGACGCCGGATAAGACCGTGCTAGTTTAGTGCCCGTGCCCTGACTCGTGCCGCCTGCTTGCGGATACCGTTTATTAGCTTTAAATACTGATAATTTTTTATTTACTACATTTATTTACTTCCAGGTGGATACCGGTATACTTGATAGTATTCCTGAGGAGATAGCTTGTAGCCTGCGCCGCCGGATTCCATTGTTCGATTAATGCAGTAGCAAAGGAGACGGAAGCTCCAGAAATCGAATCTTGAATTGTCTGTGTCTGGATTGCATTGATGGTGTCTTCTTGTTATTTCATATGATGCTTAATCCAATAGTCTGATCATTGGGTCAGAAACCTAGTGGGACCATCAAATCTCATCATGGATTCTGTTTCACCCCCGCCTCGAATTACCGCAGTCGCGCATCCTACGCCCAGCATCATTTTAGTGAGTTGTTGGCGATTGGAGTGGGGTAAATCATTGACAATTCATACATAGTGGCATGTGTTACCTGCGCCGGTAAATTGACACCTGACTCAATATGCGAGCCAAAGAGGGCCAGGCCATGAGAGCACAACAGGTGGGTTCCATGCAGGCTCTGTCATATTGAATCGTTCAGACATGGTGCCACGCCTGTTGCACCTGTCATGCTGACTTTGACTTTTGAACCGGGGTTTGTGTGGGACGATCGCAGTATAACACATATATCTTGGTGACAGTTCCCAACGATAAATCAGGATTCATTGAAAGGGATTCCAGCTAGCAGATTTGCTACTTCCGAATCTACATTGATCGAACCCCCTACACTGGAACGTCTCAACTCTGACACCAACCTAAGCAAAATGCATTCCCTCCTCGTCCCTCAAATTCCCATCGACGCTCCATCTCCATCCGAACTCCTCCAACTACCCACCGGCGAAAACGGCTACCACTGGATCCTCTCCGATGCAGAGAGAAACCATATCGCCAAGATGCTCGATGTGGAGGGTCGGTCATCAGACCCTCATCGACTCAAGAGGCTAAACTGACCTCAATCAAGACAAATCCCTCCTCACCCTGCGCGGTAGCCGGATGATGCGGGAGCGCGCAACCTGCTCCGGCTGCGGCAAGCACTCCGGGCTCGATGACCTCGTCCACAACGCTCTGTATGCCGGCATCCACGGCAAGGCGTTCATGTTAGACGTGCTGGTGCACGGACCCAAGGCCGGTAGTCCTGGGCATGAGATCACTTGCTCTGGCTGTGGGTCTGTCCATGATGGGCGCTTTTATTGGATTCCGAGTCTTCCCTGGTGATGTTGAGTGGACACTCATGGCTCTGGCCTTAGAAGATATGACTCGATTGATGGATTCGAGAATTTACATCAAGTCGGTTGGTCAGACTTAATGGGCAATCCATTCAATTGTCACGAACCCTTTGTAGCCTTTGGCTGCTGTGGGCTCCGTAGTTTTCTCCACGGGAAATGTTTTAGATTCCAATCAACAGCAATCCTCACACTCTGACTCGCAATCGGTCTGACAGCCGTCGCATCCTCGCGCGTGCCGGCGATAACTCAGCAACTGTCGCTCGGTCAAATGGTCCGGCCAGCTACTGTACCAGTCCAGGAATTCGGGGATGGAGTCGAAGCGCGGCCTGCGCCCGTACAGCGTTTGCGGCTCCCAGGGGTCGCAGTAGTCCACCTCCATGAAAACAATCCGCCATCCCCACTCGTGAATATTGAGCGAATCCGGGACATCCCCATTCCACTTCGGCTTCGTGTTCTCCTCCTGATTTTTCCCGGTCCCCTCCTCGTCGTCGTCATCATCCAAATATTTGCGACAGTAAAGATAAGCACTATACCACTCGGGCCATTGCCCCCGATACCCTTCTTGTCCAACAAGTACCCCCGCCTTGACCTCCAGATCGTCATCAACATCGGCCACAATCGTCGCCCGACCAAATAAGGACGAACCATAGTCGTTGGGCTGTTCCAGCGACTCCCGCAGATCCTCGCACTTGGTGCGCACACACTCATGATACCGGTCCTCACGCTGCCGCCGCCATCTACCCTCCCCATCCTCATCCTTCTCGCCCTGCACTTCCTCCCCAATCCCCTCCAGCTCCTCGTCCTCAAAATGGATATACAGCCCAGCCGCAAACCCCGCCACCCCGGACTGCCGCAAATCCGGATCCCGAACCTCGTGTGCGTGACGCAGGAACCGGCCCAGCTCCTCACACCGCGGGATCACCCCGGGATGCTCTCCCCCTTCTGTGGCCGCCCGCGCCTCCGCCTGCCGCTGGAACACCCCCTGCAGCATATCCAGGTAGATCTGTCGCGCGGTCTCGGTGCGCAGCTGGGTCGGGTAGATCCCATCCATGCGCCGGCCGGGCACGGCGTCGTCATCCACCATCTGGAGGTAGGGCTTGCCCTCGTCCCAGCGGTCTGGCTCCGGATTCCAGTCGCAGTGCCGCCACTCCGCCATCCGCTGGATCTTCTTTTTGTCGGGGGCGGTCGGGTCGCGGGCTTCCACCTCGGCGATGCGGGATTGAATGAAGGCGCGGGTGGCGGTAAGCATGCGCCTGCGGAAGCGGGTGAGGGCTTCATGCATGGCTTTGTCTGCTGCTGCGTCTGCAGCGGTTGTCTCCGAGGCCTGGGAAGGGGTGTTCTGGTCAGCCATTCTTTTCGCGGACAGGTTAGGGCAGTAGGTTTGCGGCTGGTGACGACACCGTCGACAAAGAGATAATCGGCAGCGCTGTAAATAGAAAGTGACTGGGTGTTGGCTGATTAGAAGATCGTGTTACTGGCTTTTTATAGGATATATGCACCAGCAAGCTATTTAAGCGTTGCCTGCGATTTGCTGCAGCAGCAGGTCAGAACCCTTTTTTTCTCGCTAGTGTGGATCGGATACGGGTTCCATTGTGGGGCGGCTAGGCACCGATTCACACCAGGTAGCAGCGTTGCATCAGGTTGATGCATGGAGGAGGGCTTGTTTTTGATTGTACATATTTGGTTGGTGTTCAGTCTTATTGTCCTACCAATTGTTGGACAGTGCGTTTGGGGCAATTTCGCCAAGAGAAAGCCCAGAATTTCGAGGTAGCTACGTCGCGGCCCAGGTCTGACTTCATTTCCTCTGGTTCTTGCCCTAGGCTTCTCCAGCCCTAGGACTTCACTAAAAATACTTGACTCTTCAATGGACGACGATGAAGCTTCGAAGCAGTAAACAACCTGGGACAAATGTTGTACTGCAAGTCAGGTGCTCCGGCTTCCCCACTAATTACCGGAATCAGCTATTCCTAGCCAGATTGAGGAGATTTAGTCTCAGAAGTTTGGTTCACTCCACTACACTTAGATGATCTGGTAGGTCTCCCGGGTTGCAGTGCCGACTCGTCGCGCCAGTTGAGGTTATACCACCTCCCGCGTTTCCCCTCTGTCAACCTGCATGATTTGGTTGTTGTCTCCCAGAATCGACTATAACGAGGCTTACCGATAATTCAAAATCGCTTGCACCGCCAATTTGCGGCGTGGACCTCTAGCCGGGTGGGGTCCCAACTTGTATTCAGTGGAACCTTGAGGACGATGACAGGTGAGATTCAGCCAGAGGATGGTGTTTATTTGTGCCGGTCTCTGCCCCATCAACTATCTCTCTCTGGAAGGCTTGCTCTGGTCTTCTGCTGCGGGAGGAATGGGTGAAAAGCCACATCCTTTCCGATGAACTGCAAAAAGGACGCGAATTGATGCAAAGATAGGCGACTGTTAATCAACACTTCAGCGATGTGTGAAATAGCAACCCCGTTATATCTGGACAACCTCAACGTAAAACCTAACCAGTGTCAATAGTCGTACCATTCCCTCGCTTCTTCCTCTACCCCTGTCGACCTCATACTATCCTCTATCATCTCATGGTCCCGCCTGGGGCACTAACCACCCAAAGAAATTCGTTTGTTGAGCCTCCGTCGACTGAGAAACACACTGACAAATCTACATCTCGCTCCTCAAAGTCTTCAACGTATGATACGTCCCTAAAAACCAAAGCATCACCCACCCTATGAGCTAAAGCACCGCTGGAGATGATCCCCATCTTCAGATTCCAACCACAAGCTCGGCCCGGTATCCCTCACTTAACGAATGTCGCTCTACTACCTCGAGACCGGCGATTTCCGGTCCCTATCGATGACGCGCCAGGGTCAGGTGCTCATCGACGCCAAGCCCCAGGTCTTCTCTGTGATTGACCAAGACGCGCTGGATACCGGGTGCATCGCCCTGCACGCTTTAAGTCGAACGGACAGGTGGCGGCCTCGACGCGCCTGCAGCCGTGGCACATGGGGGCTCAGATGCTCCTGGCGTGCGTGCAGGACTGGCAATTGGACCGGTTGGTCAATACGCATCCTCACTACCATTTACAGCCTATTCCGTACGTTATTCCTGTGCTTTTTCGCACTCTTTACCTGTGGTTTCAACCCCGAAAGAAACAGCAGACTACACTACACTGCTATGTAGTTCTAACCTCTACCGCAAAGCCTCAACATGGACCTGCCGTTACTCGAGATCATTGTGGCGGCAGTCCTGCGGCCTTGGTCATCAGGCTGCCGCTCACCGCTGTGGCCTTCGCTTGTTCCTCGCAGACAACCAATGGTGGTCAGAATCCCAGCATTTTCCACCTCTCTCGCAGGTGTCATCACATTGACTCCACCCAGCAACAAGAGACTTACGGCTCACGTATTACTCGCAGAAGGCTGGGCGCGACATGTGGAGATCTTTGCTCCCGGGTATCTGGCGCTGGAAACTCAGGGCCTAGAAGCGGAGTTCGAGTTGACCTGCTTGTCAGATCATCCCGATAGCTATGAATTCGATTGATGCTTTCCCTCTCTATCTCGTGCCCAGAGAACATCGCCGCTCTAGGAGGTAGCCCTACGCCAGGCTGAGGAGATGGAGCTTCTCTTCGAGTTGTTTATTACTCTAGGCCATCTTCTTTGTCTTTTGGGCCTGGCGGTGTTGGGAAGGTTCAGGCTAGCTGAAAGGACTACTTCATCGTGGTGTAACATGTGCCCAAGCGCCACAACATCCCCAGCGAACCTTCACCACTTGAAGCTCTTCCTGGCGTGGGAGAAACCTAGCAAATCAAGCCTTGTGCCCAGCATTGCCAAGGATCTAACAGGGCAATGGCGATGGCTTGGCATCTCAACCCGGACAGCACTCCCAAAGCTGTTCAGTTCTCGGTATTGCCACCGCATAATGTATCGATCTCAGGAGGTACCTTGTAAGAACTACCCATCAATCGACATCAGACCAGTCACTCGTACACTAGATCTGCGTCTGTATTATTGTATGGTTGTGCTAAATTATTATTTCGATGTGGGCGGGAAGAACTTTTACAAGCCATTGTATCGATAGCGTGTTACCTTCATATCAGAACCCTAACTATAGTTCACTCACCGTCCCAACAAATAACCCCGACTAACATAGTCCACACTACCGCCCCAGCACCACCCATACAAGACAAAAAAAGGCACCCGACAACCGCCCCCCAATCCCCGCCATAATTCAGATACGAGAACCCATGGCGCAGTGATATCGTGTTCCGACCCGGTGGATCAGGGTCCCCAACGTCATTGTCCTCGGGAAGCCGAACCAAGGTTTCAGCCCCCAAATACGAACATGCCACTCAATATGACAGTCCTCAGATCTGGGGTACCCAGGTACATTACGGGGTCGAGCCGGACACATACTATAATCTCGATGAGGCTTAAAATAGCATCGCGGGTGATTTGTCCGGCCCGATGATGATCACCTGCAGGGCTCGTATCCTGTCTGGAGAAATTTTGATCCTACCCGAAAGAATTGACTTTCCTCGGAGATTGGACCCTCTGATTTGTGAGGTTTGTGCTGAGAGGGTAGAACACGAGGTTTGAGGTGTTTGGGTGGGATGGAAACGGTGTTCTTGAGCGGAAATATCGTCGTGGGCTGTGTTATGCCAAGATCGCCAAGGGGTGTCGAGGACGTCATTATTTTTGGTAGGAGCGGAATGGTGGACTTTTCTATGCATCGTGTATGCGGAGAGGTATACGGTGAGTAGGACAATTGGGAAGATAAATACCACCGTCCGCCTCGCCAATCTGTATCTAGGGTGTGTAGTACATCACACAAGACACCGCAAAACCACACCATTACAGGCAGTATCAAACTTTGAACTAAACCCAAGCTCACTGTCCTCATTAACATGCATCTCTTCACCCTCCTCATCCTGGCCTACGCCTCCCTGACCGCCGCCGTGACCTGCAACGTCCGCGGCCAGGTCCACAACTACTTCGACTGCTTCAAGTGTCCCGCCCTGGCCTGCGGGTACAGCAAGCGCACCTTCATCACCAAGGGGCTCACGCGCGACGTCAGCTGTCTGTGGACGGACGGCGAGCAGTACAAGGGCCTCAAGTACGCTCTCCCGTTGCACTGTAACTTGTCTATTGTGTTGTTCATGGCACTCGCTGACTTTAATGGAGCGACTGGTACTATGTCCCGAGTGACAAGTGCTATATCTGGGGTGGACGGATTGATACCAAGCACTGCAAGGGTATCTGTAAGTCATCGGTTCCCGTTCTGGGCTATAAGGCAGAAGACCAGTTGGGAGGGCGCTAACATCGCATAGCCAAAATCCCCAAGTGCGAGCCCTGCACGCCCCAGCCTGGCCCACCGGTGCCTCTGCCCGTGGCGCCTTCGGGAGGGGCTGCGGCGGCGGCTGCGGCGGCAGCGGTCAGTGGTGGTGGTCCCGGAGGTCGGCGGGATGTGGAGGTGGAGAGGGATGTGGAGGTGGAGAGGGATGTGGCGGTGGAGTTTGAGGCGTAAGCTGAAGTGGCAAGGGTTGGAAGGGGGGATAGCGGACGGTGGGCAGTGGGTAGTATCTTGTGGGGGCGGGGAGTTTACGGTAAAGGGATGCGGGATATGAATTCCGGGAGACTGCAACGTGGATCATTAAAAAGCTGCTACTCCTTGCCTGGATTTTAGTGAAATCGACTGTTATGCTATGCTTGTATCTTAATCACTGATAGTTACGCTGTTGAATGGAATTCGCCGAACTTCAGTTCTTACCCGTAAGCATACCGTGCCCATGCCCCTGACCTACAATTCAATCTCCACCAGCTTCGCCGGCTCCTCCCCTCCCTTCGGCGGAGTGATATGCCCGCCATTGGTCGTAATAAACAACCGCCGCCCATCCGCCGAAATCACCCCGGAGGTACATCCCGCCACCTGGGCACTATCCCTGGTGCCTGCCAGCACCGCTTGCTGCCCGGCGGCCGTAACCCTAACCACCTGGTTATCCGCCACGGCCATGAGATACAAACCCCCGTCCTCAGCCACTGCAAAGTCATCCACCACCACCCGAGACGCCACCGTCTCAACGGCCCCCGCCGCTCTCACACTCCGCGAGGAATCATCCCACCGCACCGGCACGCGAAACACCGCCTGCACGGAGTCGGTTGAGTAGTACACGAAGCCGCGCCACACGCGAACCCCGTTGACCCCGAGCCCTAACGGATCCGTCGGCGACGCCGCCATGCTGGCTGTATCGTTCAACGCCACGCGGTACTTTCCGGTCTGGGGGTCGAGTTGCCAGATCACTCCATTCACCGAGTCGGCGATCAGCACGACCCCTGTCCCTGCCGTAGTCTTAGTCCCAGACCCGCCGGAAGGGAAAAGAGCCATCCCATTCAACCACCCCGCCTCCGGCACATCCGCCACTTTGCGCACCGACACAGCACCACCATCCCCATCCCCATCCTCCCCCGCAACATCCCCCGAAAGAGTGACAGAGTAAACCCCCCACGACCCGACAACAGGATGCCCAATATCCGTAATGCGCAACTTCCCGACCACCACCGCGTACACCCCCTCCCGGCCCAGCGGGGTTATCCCCATGCAGGCCGTGGCGTTGGGGAAGCAAGCCACTACCTCGCCCTGACCGGTGGAGACATCGATTGACCAAAGTTCGGGGACGTCCATGCAGGTTACTAGTAGCGTTGGGGTGGTGTTTGCACCCCTCGGGGCGGGGCCCAGCGCCAGGTTTTCGAGCCAGGTTCCGTTTGTGCGGTATTGGAATTTTATTTGTGGGGATGTGGCGGTTGTAGTGGGGAGAAGGCCGAGGGAGAGGGAGAGGGTCCCTAAGGTTGATAGGAAGAGGGGGAGGTGCATTTTGGTTGGGATTGCTCCTTACTGGGGAGGGGTTAGGTGGAGGGTGGTGATAATTTGTTAAATCGGGAAAGAAGGAGCTGTACTGTACTCGGGTGGCTCGGTGGGAGAGCGGTGCTTAAATACCTTACTTAGGGCTTGGCAGATGCGCGGGACGGGTGATCGACCGGTGCTACGTTACACCCTTGCTGTGGCGTGGCTTGCATAAACTATAGGTGTGGTGCAGCTTGGCATATATCCGCGTGCAGGCATGTGAAGGGTGAAGTTTGTCTTGCGAGGATTATTGACTTTACAGAGGCTACTGTGCAAAAGATGGATAGCTTAATAGCTAATTACATTTGATGTACAGTGCTGATCGACCTGCTATACTATACAAAGCTATGAATACCAGACACTGCAACTATACAGCATACGGCATCTCCTCCTCCCGCAACCGACTCGCCCGGCGCCCCGCGTGCTTCTCGCGATCCGCCGCCAGCGTCTGCGCGAATTTACTCCGCGCCCGGATCGCCGGCCCCTTCCAGTAGAAAATGTAGATCGGCACCGCCACCAGCGCCGCAATGCACCCCAGCAGCGTCGACGCCCACGCCAGGTGGAACTTCCCGCCTATGTTCTCGTACAGCGGCGTCGCGTACATGGTCGCGATGCCCGCCAGGAAGTCCCGCGCGAACCCGTTGCCCCCCGTCGCGGAGGCGGAGTACGGTCCGTAGGCGGCGACCATGTAGTCGATCGTCGCCATGTAGATCGCGTAGTTGGCGATGGCGATCAGACACGCAAAAATCAACGGGGCGATCCACGGCGCGTACGCGGGGCCGATCGACGTCCACGCAAACCCTAAGAGGCCGACCGGTTCGAGGGGCGCCAGGAACAGCAATAACAGCAGGCGTCGTTCGGCCAGGCGTGCCGCTGAGCCGTCTTTCTGGCGGATCTTGCGCTGACGCCAGATGTCCGGGAGGAAGATGAGGTATGCGATTATGTACCCGAGCAGAATGGCGCAGAACGCCAGGCCGTTGGTCAGGGTATTGAAGCCCCACTGGTCGAAGACGAGGGTGAACGATTCCGTGAAGGTAAAAATCAACGCATCGGAGAACCCGGAGAGCAGCGACAGAAACAAGACGATGGGCTCGCGCAAGAACATCTCGAATGGCCGTCTCCAGATTCGCAGGATCTCGCGCAATTCCAGGCGGTTTGTTTTGAGCTCGTTCGGCCCGTAGACCTCCTCCTCGCCCGACTGGCGCCGGCGCTTGGCCTCCCGGTCGAGGAGCACGGTGGCGCGCGTCTCTGGCACCAGTAAAAGATGCAGCACCTGCGTGAAGCCGCCGAAGATCAGTTGCACCCAGAACACCCACTGCCAGGTCAGGTACTGACCGATAAACCCCCCGAAGACGGGCCCGATGGTCGACCCGCCCACGGAGGAGAGCACCACATACGCCACCGCGAACCCCTGATCATCCGCCTCCCACATATCCGCCGTCATGCCCAGCGTGACCGACCCGCCGGCGGAGCTCAACCCGCCCAGGAACCGGCAGACGACGATCGTCCCGAAGTTCGGCGCCAGCGCGCACGGGATCTGCCAGATGTTGACCAGGAACAGACTCAGCTGCATGATCGGCCACCGTCCGAACTCCTCGCTCCACGGCGCCCAGAGCTCGCAGCCGAACGCGTACGCCACCAGGAAGATCATCTGGCCCACCCGCGCCGCCTGTGCGCTGACGCCGAAGGTCTCTTCGATGCCGGTCAGGGCGTCCGAGTACACGCCCGTGTTGAAGTTCATGGACATTTGCACCATGAAGATGACCGTCAGGATCATCCATTTCTTGTACCACGGAAAGGAGAAGCCCAGCCTGTCGTAGCAGTCGTCCTCGCTGAGCTCCCGCTTTCCGTCGGGTCGGGTTTTGCGGGAGAGAGATCCATCGCTGTTGGAGGAGGAACGCTGCGATGCGTGTTCGGTTTGTGAGGTGGTCGGGTGATCGGATTCGGATTGTCGGCGTTGAATCTTTTTGTTGTCTGGTGGGAATTCGGTCTTCTTCTCGTTGATCCCTTCTTGGTCTGTGTTGGATTGATCGTTGGATTGATCGTTGAGCTGGGTGTCAGAGCTGATCATTGTGACGAACGGCGCATGAGATTCGTCAAACTAGTTGTGTGTTTATGAAGGAAGCGAGAAGAAAAAGCCATGAAATTAGTGTATCAAGCCCCACTGTCACTCAGATAGAGAATGCTTAAATTGGCTTGGAATGCTTGATAGAACGGATGTGCGATCGAAGGCCTTTTGTAACTGCCGATCTATAATTATTTTCGTCTCCATCCTATGCACAGTGTCTTCGCAGTCAGTGGCATGACGTTGAGGAAGGCCGTGAACACTACATCAGAATCATCTATCAGCAGTGTCATCGTGTTGATGGTTCAGGTACGGAAAAGATCTTCTCCTGTCTGGCGTCATAGCCTGGCCTGTCAGCCCATTGTCCCTGGGACGTACCATGGGCGATGATCCTTGTTTTCTCCCGGTCGGTCCCACGAGCACACAAGACACGTAGTCTATTGGCCGTTGATGCACGACTGGCAATGATGCATCGATAGTCCGGCCCCGATGAACTGGTCGGCTCTCAGTGCGTGGCAAGCCGGGGTTGTCCGGCGGGAAAACATCACCGGGGCCCCAGACACTGGCCTCCCCAAAGCCAACTGATTTGATTGGTCTGCCTCCCGGTGATAAACGATAAATCAGACAAGTTGACGTGGAGCGAAATGAACATGACGTCAGGCCGATAGACAGAAAAACTGGTGCCTGAGTCGGATATGTGATCCATCCCCGCTCTCCAGTTTCCTTTCTCCGCATCAACCGGTTTTTTCTAATTCGTATGACACAAGGTAGGTCTGCTGATATGTCCGATACCATGGGTATCATATTCGGTAAGTCCATGGCTTCTGCTTACTTGATCCACGCGATGTTGTGTAGAAGAACTCGATACGGGGACAGGATGGGGTCTCCGGTTATCCGATCATGGATGCTTAGCCTCTTGGCAGAGGCTTCGACCACTGTATGGGCGGAGTAATCCGCCCAGCCTTATTCGTCGATCTAGCAGGCGCGTCGGGTCAATCCAGATAACATGCGGCTGAACTGTCAGTCAAAATGTTTGCTCCCTCCCTCTGGACACATGTACCGTCAGACATTTTATGCTTCTCAGCTTATGTCGTGTACTTTGCGTGTGATTTATGGGTGCTCCTGGTCAAGAGAGCTGCGGCCGGTTTGTTAGTCATCATCCAAAAGAGGACGAATGGAAGACGACAAAAAATGAACAAAAGAAAAAGAGTCAGATTGTTGACGCGGGGTGTGTATAGCCTTGATAGAGAAGTATGTGCTCGATAGAAACTCCGAAGTTGAAATCTCATCCTGGAAAAGGCGACAACCTGCATTGCGAGCTCTTAAGGGGGGAAGATGTCAAGAGACGCATCCACGCATTTTGGCGGTTCTTGTAGGAAATGAGGGTAAATGATGGAGCTGAGTGTCCTGTGCTGTAGGCAGTTAGGCTCAGATCTTAACTGGTTGATGGAAACAAAGAAAGCGTAACCCCTGTCCGCATATATTAACAACAAGCCCCTGAAGTAGAATGGCGTGATGATCAGCCGTCCATAACCACGTGCGAGGCTGGAAGAAGAGGGGCGATGAAGAACATAACAATACTACCAAGTTCACAAAGTGAAGTAGCCCGGCGAGTTGTGGTTAAACGTTGTAGGGAAGACAACAATGGCTGAGAATAAAGATTGGACACTGGCTCAACAACACAAGTCCATTTTAGGAGATTTAGTTGTAATGCAGTGCAGTGCCACCAACACCCAATCTTCCCACTTCTGAACTCCATCTTGCACGAGACAGCCAATGAAGCTTTGTACTGGTCAGATCCATCGACATGAAAGGCGTTTGAGCTAGAACATATTCAGAAAGGCTCCATCGGCTAACTTGCTTTAGCATCAAGTGTATGTTTAGCCCTCGCCTTGGCGTAAGCAGAGCTCACCCTTAAAGGTTTCCACTGCGCCGCTGGGTCTCGATCACGCTGTCATATCATCAAACATCGAATTCGAAAACAATCGAGTCCAGGATGATGTCAATTTGGTGGATGACGGTCGGACTATTTTCGATCTACAAAGCCCTCTTCTTTGTGCGCCTATATATCCAAGCCCGTCGCACCGGATTTCCCATCGTCTTCGCCCCCGCACCCACAGCAAGTGCTCCCTGGTTGGTACTCGCTCCGATCTTGCGCCCATATCTGCAACCGGTTCTGCCGGAATGGCTATACAACCGCTTGGACATCGGGACTCATGGCTGGGAGTTCCGCATGAAACGCGGCCCTTTTGACCGCTGGGGGAACACCTTCGTCTTGCTCACCCTCGATGAATGCATGGTCTGGTGGGTTCTCATTCGAGGTTACCGGTCCAGACATCTTTCTGAGCTATTTGTGCAGGACTGGAGATGTCCATCTCGGAAACGTGATCCTGCAGCGCAGGAATGACTTCGAGCAAGCGCCGATTGTCGGAAAGATTCTGGGTTTCTTGGGCCCAAATGTGTTTGCGGTACGTCAACCATCGCTGCTTCCCCATGCCTAGAGACTGATACGTGAGGTGCAGACCAATGGCGATGAATGGTAGGTGGCCCTAAGTGGAACATCACCTCTTTCTAATCTCTTGCAGGAAACGTCACCGTCGCATGTTTGCCGCTAGTCTGGACGAACGCATCAGCCGAATCGCCTGGTCGGAAAGTCGTGAACAAGCGCGATCAATGCTGAATTACCTCTTTGACCATCCAGGAGGAGACTCACTAACTGGGTTGCGCAGCCTCGCGATCAACGTGATCGGTCAGGCAGGGTACACGAAGACCACCCCGTGGTCGCCGACACCGCTTCGAGATAGACCCGGCCAGGAGGAGCACGCTCGTACGGCGTACTTCAAAGCCCTCGCGTTAGCGACCGATTTGTTTTTCGTCGCGGCCTTCATCCCCCCCAAGATTCTCAAACTCTCCTTCATGCCGGCTCAACTGCGTCTTCTGGGCCAGCGTCTCGAGAAAGTCCCGCAGTACATCGCCGAGATCTCCCAGGAGGAACGCCAGACGGCGAGGGATGAATCCGTGGGGCGCAGCAACTTCCTCCGCTTTTTGCTGCAGAACTCGGACACGGACACTACCTCGGGATTTGGATTCACGCCTGACGAGCTCAGTGGGAACCTTTATGTCTTCACAGTTGCGGGTTACGAGACGACTGCCAACACCATGGGGTTCGCGGTGACGCTGTTGGCTGCATATCCGGAATGGCAGGAGTGGATCCGCGAAGAGCTGCGTGAGCTCCCTGCAGACTCGTCACCCTGGTCTTACAACGATGTGTTCCCCAACTGTCAGCGCACATTGGCAATCATGGTACCCACCCCTTCCGTTCTGACCTAGTCGCTAGACTCCTAATGATATCATACAGCTCGAGGTCCTACGCCTTTTCCCCCCCGTCCTTCATTCGACCCGCGCAGTGTCCGGACCCCAACAGCTCGTCAGCGAAAAGGGCACGCATCTCCTCGCGCCGCCGATGAATGTCATGGTTTCTGCGATGGCTATTCATCTCGATACAACGATCTGGGGCGAGGATGCCACGGTTTTCAGACCCTCGCGCTGGATCGATGACACCGGAAAAGTGAAGACTCCGCCAAAGGGAACGTTTCTTCCATGGTCTGGCGGTCCCCGCGTCTGCCCCGGGTTGAAGATGTCCCAAGTGGAGTTTGTCTCCACCATTGCCACGTTGTTTCGGTCCGCTCGGTGCGAGCCGATGCCCGTCGACGGAATCTCGCAACCAGAAGATCTGCGGCGGAGGTTGGTGCGGTTGACGGATAACGCGATTGCTAAGTCGACGTTGCAGGTTAAGGATCACAAGACTGTGCAGTTGCGGTGGGTGCGGGATGTACAATAGCTGAATCTCTATGCCTCTCTGAGCTTGAATATGTATACAGAACGAGTTTAGTCTAGAATACAAAGCATCCGTGTATTTTAAGAATCTACTCACACGCGAGATGCCTGTGATGCCAGGGCATATCTTACTGCCAACTGCTTTATCTGAGGATCGATGGACCCAAATGCTCGTGCTCCCAGAGAGCAAAGCATTCACTTCCAGGCACCAAGCTACTAACCTAGGAGAGGCCTTTCACTGTAGGCCCCTGGCTTAGCAGCCTGAGTCGAGGCCTAATGGTGTTACTCCCGGCACTGGCCTCCCCAAAGCCGTCCCCGGAGTCACCGTCGCCTACTCTCTCACCACCAACACTTCCTCACTATCTCCTCCGTTTATATCGATCTTGTCTACACTACCCACCTCCCCAATCCTCAAAGCTACATACCTCGCACATCTAACCACTACATTTCAGAACCCGTAAGGAAGCAAGATCCGCCCAGGAATTTGAACTTGAATACTGACTTTCCCTAGCATCACAGAACCTCACCCGCGGCTTGACGCCCCAGACCCCCACTTCTCATTCTCACACCGTGAAGTCGGAACACCGTTTCTAACATCCGTAAACCATGCGTTGCAAGAAATGTGGCTGGAACAACATGACGAGCAACAAAAAGGACAGTCCCAAAATGGACTGCGATGAGTGTGGGAAGCCCATCGTCGACAACTATGAGAACACCCCTAAGCAGCCGAAGCCCATGCCGAAGCCCAAGCCCAAGCCTCGGTAGTAGGCTCAGCGGAAGTCTCAGAAGAAGATTCGATAGGGGTCTGGGAGACGAGGTCTTTGGCAGTTTCAGTGAGCGATGCGGCCGTTTTTTTTCGGTGTGAGTCTCAGCTGGAACCTCAGTAGGAAACTTGATAGAAGGCTCAGTGGGACCCTCAATGACAGGATCGGTAGAAGCTATGATGAAAGATGGGAAGGATGGATGAGGAGAAAGGTCAGGGACGAATGTTGGAAGGGAAGTTGTTCGAGGGAGGGGTAGAGGCAAAGTCCAGACTGTAGTCGTGAATCTCAAGCCAAATGTTTGGTGCGTTGCTGGGGGTTCCTGTTTGGGAAGCAACCATTGATCACGTGTCCGGCACACAAGCCTTCACGCTCTTCGCATACCGCTCCCCTTTACTTCAATGTTCCATTCTTGCGTTTGATTTCTATCGTATACCAGTATCGCAAGAGATGCTTGTGGGATCATAGTTCACCTGTCTCAGGCATTTTTCCCATCTTTCCAAGCTATCACTATGAAAGGATACAAAAAGATGTCGCTTATACTAATCCGCTTCAAGATTCGAGCCATCCGGTGGGTCTCTGGCGCCATATGGCTCTAGAGCTATTCTCGGACATAATGCGTCCTCATCACAACGATGTACAGCCCGTGCCAGTCCCTACGATGGAATATTTCGAGGCTGACCAGAGTTGATGTATGTAGTCTGTCGCACCACCCGATGTCTTCTATCCAACCTCCGTACCTACTTCACATGCAGACCGACAGTCCTCCTGGTCAAACAGACGTATCTATCATCTACCCGGAACCGAGCGCCTGGTTGGCAGTGATATGCCCGCTACGGTGCACAGATCATATCTCAAATTATACGCAGAACAAATTATGGCTGTATGTTGTTATATTTTGCCAAAGCTTGAGAGGTTACATCTATAATAAACTTATAACATATCGGATGAGCTCGTCAAAGCTTAGTGCGGCGGTCTAAGCGGTCTAGGAACCTCATGGAAGAAGCATTGGTGGCATGTGACGGTCGTGCGACAACAATCGTATGTACGATGACTCGCCTCCATCTGGAACGATGGTGGCTGCGAATAGATATTCCAACTACGCGCACTCCTGCCCCAACAAAATTCGGTCGGACTTGCTGCAGACTCACCAGGGTTGGGAGGAAAATATGATCCTAAACAGCGCGAGCGACTGTTTGTAATCATATTGTGCACATGGATTGTTGTGTCGAGCCTAGGATGTGCGATGCAAATCATTTGTCATCTTGTTGGGTCCATCCTCAAGAATCTCCCCTTTGACTTCATCGGGGGTTTTTCTATCAGTAGCACTGGCCTCCTGTCGTCTTTCGTCATGATAGGACTATACACAAACGGGTAAGGGTGCTTCTAGGCTGAGAGCGAACGATTCCGAGCATTTAAAGAGGAAATAGCGCGAGCGAACATCTATGGCTGTGCTGCTGCCTTGGACAGCGGCGAGCTCTATAACCCGACAAAGGATATAATTGATCCTGCGGATGAACAAAACAGACACAAAAATAGTGAAGCCGTGTACTTCATGACTGCCGGATTTGTTCAATGGTTTCAAAACAACTTCTTGAACGCTGTCTTCATTATCATCATCTGATCGGTAGCATCACGATCGTCTATCATGATGGTCTATCTACAATCGGCTCCCCATGTTGATGTGGACCGCCTTTATCTGGGAGTACGCCTCCAAGCCAGCCTCACCCAGCTCCCGACCAATACCACTCTGTTTCACTCCTCCAAAGGGGATGCGGGGGTCGCAATCCTGACTGCTGTTGACCCAAACCATACCTGCCTCGAACTCCGCCGCCACCCGGTGAGCCCGCTCCAGGTCCCGGGTGAAAACTGCTGCACCTAGACCATATGTGGTATTATTGGCGCGGCGGATGACCTCCTCCTCCGAGTCAAAAGGCATGATGACGACCACAGGCCCAAAGACCTCCTCCTGCACGATACGCATGTCATCAGTGACATCTGTGAAGGCCGTCGGCTGGACGAAGTATCCCTTTTCCAACTTGCTGTCAGCAGGAGTGTATGCGCCACCACCGATCAGAAGCTTGGCTCCTTCTTTCTTGGCCAGCTCGATATACGACAGCACTCTTTCGTACTGCGCGCGAGTGACCTGGGGACCCTGGTATGTCGTTTCATCCCACTGATCACCGATCTTGGACGTTGTTTCGACCTCCTTCTTAAACTGCTCCAGGAAGGTGTCCAGCACCTCCCGGTGCACGAAGATGCGCGAGGTCGCCGTGCAGATTTGACCCTGGTTCGACATGATGCCGAGGTGAGACCACTTGACCGCCTGCTCCATATCGGCATCGGGGAATACCACCAGAGGCGACTTGCCACCTGTCTCAAGGGTGATATTCTTGAGTGTGCCGGCAGCCATCTTCATAATCTCGCGCGCGGTGGCAGTGGACCCAGTAAAGGCCACCTTGTCCACAAGCGGATGCTGTACGAGAGCCGCACCCGCCTCGCGACCGTACCCATTGATGATATTCACCACACCAGCGGGGAATCCAGCCTCCTTGATTAAAGTACCCAGGACCAGGATACTCAGCGGCGTCTGCTCAGCCGCTTTGATAACAACAGTGTTGCCGCAAGCCAACGCAGGGCCCAGCTTCCAGGCCGCCATAGATAGCGGGTAATTCCAAGGGATAATCTGCCCGATAACCCCGAGCGGCTGGCGGATGGTGTATGCGAATTTCTGGGGCGTGGTGCTAATCGTCTGGCCGTGGGTCTTATCGGCCCATCCGCTGTAGTAGCGGATCGTGTTGATGGCTTCAGTCAGGTCTTCGTTCAATGCGACGTGGTACGGTTTTCCTGGTGTGCCTGTCAGCCCCGCTCTATCGCTACCGTCGAGTTGCTGCGGGAGCTTGAAGGATGAACCCACCATTATCCCACGCATCAATGGCAGCGAACAACTCCCTGTTCTGCTCGATCAGATCGGCGAGTCGGCCCATGAGCTGCCCGCGCTCGGTGGCAGGCAGCTGCTTCCACGATGCATGGCCGAGGGCGGCCTTGGCGGCCTGCACGGCGGCGTCGACATCCTCTGCGGTCGCCGCGTGCACCGTGGCAATCGGCTTGTCGGTTCTGCTACCGTCAGCAACATGCGACGGTGTACTCACTGCAAAGCTGGGCTTGCAACTCACGCTGGGTCCAGCGACACAATGGTTTGTCCGCCGGATGAGGGACGGAACTCGTTACTGATGAACAAGCCCGTGGGCTGCTTGTACTGACGGCCGTTAGGCGTGGTAAGCTCGACGAAGAGGTCCGACATCCTATATTGGCACAAAGTCACAGAAAAAATCTCCGAATTGAACGGAACAGACAGAGACGAGAGAAAGAAATGAAGAAGGAAGACAGTCGCAATGGCAGCAGACAGCAGAGCAGATAGCTGGGGGTTTTGTGGCCTACTGAGCGCACCGCGGACCGGTGGAGTGCAGTGTCAGGCTAGAACTGCCTAAACTGGATTTGGGGAATAAGTGGTCAGTTTGCGGGACTGATTCGGAATGGAGGAATGAGCGGGGCTCCAGCTGTCCCGCGGTTTCCGATAAGATAGTCTACCGCCCAAAAGGGCATGTTTATCGCCGAGTGGGCCATACGCTCGGTGTCCCCTCACGTGGACTTTTGTGGCAATCATTCCGTGGAATGACCTTCCCTTTCTGATCCGCTCGAAGCGCGCCGCTTTAGGCCCGACTGAATGCTGCTTTTGGCCGACTGTGAAAGGAAAGTCTTATGTCAGCGGAGTCCGGTCAGCCCTCGGTGCCTCAGGCAAACTTTGGGTCCAACGGCCACGACCAGTAACATTCTACCATTCGATAAAACAAATCCATTGTTCCTGGTTTCCTGGTTACATCTCTTTACATTACATACTCAAGTGATATGCCTGAGTAATCAAGTGGGGGTATTGTCTAGATTCTGTTCTGTTCACCTATACATATTCCAGCGAGACATATATGTTGCAGACGGAGCTCGGTAATATACACGTGGTCCCCCGGTGCTCACAAACTGCGAAAACCATCGCCCATCTTACAGTTTGAAGACTAGTGTACCGCTTCTCACGTGTGAAGGGCCTGAGTCCGATGGGCGCCAGAGCCTCTCTACGGTGTTTTTGTACTTGGCTCAAACGGCACGATAACTTCACACACATCTGTCCTCCAGTTGTCTTCAGCAAGATCTGGTAAGATGCTATTTGAGTCATCTCAGAGATGCAGATTCCAGCATGCAGACTGAGTCAAAGTTGGGAGAGGAAGTCTTGTAAGCTTATATGAGATCCATGCCACAAGTGAACAACCGCTTGGCGCCTCGCGCCTCAGCCCTCACTTGCGGTTGTCTCAGATCATTCCACTTCAAACAGGCTTTACATCTTGTCGATAGCCTCACAAGCCCCTGGCGGAGTCGCTGGGGATTGAGTTCCGGATCAAGAATGGCTGGGCAGCCAATGTTTTGATCGTCCCCTGCCTTTAAAAACGCGGCATTTCCCGCCTGAGAGTCTATGTAGAAGCATTCATCAAATGAAGTAAAACCGCTTCCAATGGAGAAGACCGTCACTGATCATGCATCACAAGAAGCACCAAATGAGACACCCGAGGAAGCGCCCAAGTCGCCCGCAGCCCCTCTCAAGGCCTCGAGGGTGGTGTCTCTTACCATTGCCCTGTGTCTAGGCATCTTTTGCATGTCCCTGGTAAGCAAAGCCCAGAGCCGACAATGAGTCGGCTACTCTGGTGACTACAATGCTGACCCTCCCTCCCTTCCCCCAGGATGTCACCATCATTGCTACGGCCATTCCCCGCATCGCCGACCAATTCAACTCCCTGGACGACGTGGGTTGGTACGGGAGTTCATATCTCCTCACTAATTGCGCCACCACCCTGGCCTTTGGCAAATTCTACACTTACTACTCGACTAAATGGGTGTACCTCTCGGCCCTCTGCCTGTTTGAGATTGGGTCCGCTGTCTGCGGGGCGACTCCCAACTCGCTCGGCCTCATCCTGGGTCGATGCCTGGCCGGTCTGGGTGCGGGGGGCCTCTTCTCCGGCAGTCTACTGATCATCGCTCAGATGGTGCCTTTACATCGCCGTCCAGTGTTCACGGCCTTGCTGGGGAGCATGTTTGGAATTGCTAGCGTCATTGGTCCTCCGTGAGTAGATCCATAACCGATCCCGTTTACCGGGTTGACTCGACAGTCCGCTGACGGGATATAGCCTGGGTGGCGCCTTCACCGATCACGTTTCGTGGCGATGGTGCTTCTACATCAACCTCCCCATCGGTGCCGTGACGGGTCTTTTTGTATTGTTCCTCTTCCACCCCCCCGGACCAGTCCAGAGCCGACCCAGTTTCCGTCGTCTGCTGGGAAAGCTTGATCCGATCGGGACGATCCTCTTATTGCCGGCCATTGTCTGTCTGCTGCTGGCGCTGCAGTGGGGAGGTAACCAGTACGCGTGGGGCAACTGGCGCATCATCGTGCTGTTCGTGGCCGCGGGGGTGCTTCTGCTCGCCTTCGGAGGCTGTCAAGTCTGGCAGGGCGATGATGCCACCCTCCCGCTGAGAATCGTGCGCAATCGCAACATTTGGTCGTCGGCCTGGTTCGCCTGGACGCTCAATGGCGCCTACTTCGTGTTCATTTACTATGTAAGCGGTGTTCGACCCACTTCCATCTCCCCAAACCCGCCGTCCACTGACTTGCCGCCAGCTTCCCATCTGGTTCCAGTCCATCCAATCCGCCTCGGCCACCCAATCAGGCGTCATGAGCCTCCCAAGCATCCTGGCCGTCGTGATCGTGTCCATTCTCTCCGGAGTCACCGTCACGGTCTTCGGCTACTACAATCCCTTCATGGTCCTGGCGTCTGCCATCCTCGCGGTGGGCGCGGGACTCCTCAGCACCCTGCAACCCGACTCTGGCCCGGGCCAGTGGATCAGCTACCAGATCCTCGAGGGCATCGGGGTCGGCCTCGGCCAGCAACTGCCCTTCGTGGTGGTGCAGAATGTGCTCCCGGACCGCGACGTGCCCACGGGGACCGCGGTGGTCACCTTCGCGCAGACCCTGGGCGGGGCGATTTTCATCTCCGTGGCCCAGAGCGTCTTCACGAACCAGTTTACGCACGCGATGCAGGCTGAGGATCCGTCGGCCAACGTCACCGCGATTCTGGCCGCGGGGACGACCGCGCTCCGGGACAAGCTGCCGGGGGATCAGCTGAGAATCGTCTTGCGGGCTTACAACTCCGCCGTCACCCGGGCATTCTATGTGGGAGTCGCGCTGGCGGCGCTTTCGGTGTTTGGCACGGTTGCCTTGGAATGGAGGTCGGTCAAGAAGATGGAGAAACCTGCACCGGTTGAGGCGGATGCGAGGTCGTAAAGCGTCGTTTGGCTGCAAGGAACAGGTCGGAAGGGACTTGTGGTGTGAATAGTCCGCGGTTCGGGGGATGAGCGGGCCCGTGATAGTCAGGAAGCCTGTATGCATGCAGTATCCCTCGCAGGTGCAGTCTCCCACGATGCATCATCCGAAATTCACAGATCCTTGAAATGAACCAGACTTTCCAAGACAACCCTAACCCTACCCGCCGATCCTCACATCGGGAGGGCGTTTGGTGCATCTAGGCAGCAGTGGCCATGAAGAAGAATGCCCCTTGCATACCGGCCGCATACCGCCAATGCATGAAGGCCCGGTGAGGCGAGACGAGGGGGAGCGACTTACCTCATGCGCCCAGCTCCTGTTTCTTGGCTTCATCAACTCAAGCGTTGGTAGATGTACCGGGGCAACATAAATCTCCAGCTGTCGAACCGAGCCAGGCCGATTGAACACACCCCTCCAAACATTCATCGCCATGACGATATCTGTCACGGCCACCCCCAAGCCCCAAGAGGGAGCCGGGCCGGGGCCCACGAAAGCCGGCCCTGCAACTACCCCGTACCACACGCTCAGCAGGGCAATCCCCTTTGCCACCCTGGACCAGCACCGGTACTGGCACGCGGTGGCCCCGATGCTGGGCGAGATGCTCACGCGGGGCGACTACAGCCTGCACCAGCAATACGGATACCTGAGCCTGTTTGCGCAGGTGATCGTGCCGCGACTGGGGCCCTTTCCCAGCCAGCAAAACATCTACAAGTGCCTGCTCGGGGGCACCGGGTCCGTCGAGCTGAGCCAGAACGTCCAGCGCCGGGGGCTCACCGCACGGGTGGCCTTTGAGCCGACCAGCTACATCGCCAGCACGGGCGCGGACCCCTTCAACCGACAGGCCGTGCACGCCACCCTCGCCGAGCTGCGCACCCTGGGCGCCGCCCAGGTCGACCTGGAGCTGCACCACCAGCTGCACCACCAGCTGACGCTCAGTGACCGCGACGAGCAAGGCATGACCGCCGCCCAGATCGCCGACACCGTGTGGCGCACGCAGACCCTGCTGGCGCTCGACCTGAGCCCGTGCGGCACGATCACGGTGAAGGAATACTTCTACCCGGGCCTCAAAGCCCAGCGCACCGGCTGCAGCGTCGCGGACCTGTGCTTCCGCGCGATCCGCTCTGTGGACCCAGAGGGCCGCTTCGCAGCGGCCGCGCAGGCCATCGCGCGCCACATGCAGACCCAGCCCCGCACCGACCTGTATTTCCTGTCGTGTGACCTCGTCGACCCGGCGACCACGCGCTTCAAGCTCTACCTGATGGAGCTGGACATGCGGTGGGCCAAGGTCGAGGAGCACTGGACGCTGGGCGGGGCGCTGGCGGGGGATGCCGACGTGGCCCGGGGGCTGGCGATGCTCCGCGAGCTGTGGCGCGACTTCGGCATCCTCGAGGGCCAGCGCGCCGAGCCCGAGCGGCCCTCGCTGCCCGGCGATCCCGATACCATCGTGCCGTTTATCTTGAACTACGAGCTGCACCCGGACCGGCCGCTGCCGGTGCCCAAGTTCTATTTCCCGTTGGTGGGCATCTCCGACCTGAAGGTCGCCGCCGTGCTCGAGGCCTTCTTCCAGCGGTGGGAGATGCCGGAGCAGGCGGCGGTGTATCGCGAGAATCTGCAGGCGTACTAGTAAGTTGGCTCGTCGAAAAGTTGTTGTTTGTGTATTGCTTGCTAATCTGTGCGACAGCCCGACGGCGGATTTGGCGAAGGCGACCGATCATCAGGCGTGGATGTCGTTCTCGTACTCGCAGAAGAAGGGGCCGTATCTGACTATGTACTATCATTAGGGGGTTACCGTTTTTATGCGGTGCTATTGCGCGTTGGTAGAGTAGTCAAACTGAGTGCAGTACAACTCCAAGGCGTCCGCCTCAAAATTGAATGAACCATAAGAGCATGAGAGACCCTCGCAATGAACTTCATCCCTTCTTACATTCTCATCACCGACAACGTAATCTTTAATTTGTTTATCTTCTCGTGTCGAAATCCAGCAGAGCAGCCAGCACCCAACATTCAACCTAAAGCCCCGAATGCAACTCCCAACCAAGGACTACTTACTCCCTCTTCTCCCCCTTGGCAAAGACTGCCGTCCACCTCTGCGGCACCAACCCAGTCGCCCCGTACGTCTTCTCCAGATATCTCTCCAGCGCCGGCAGGATAGCCGCTTCGTGGGCCTCGCGCTGCGCGGCAGACCACCACTTACTCACGATGATGGGGATGACGGGCGCGGCAATCTTGTACAGGTCAGCGGTGGAGGTGTGGAACTCCTTGGAGATGGTGGTGGTGTGCACGCGCACGAAGCCGGCCTCCTCGAGGCGGCCGCGCACGTACGCCTCGTCGTCCCAGCCCGGGTTCATGCACGACATAAACTCCTTGGTCGTCGGGAAGGGGAGGGCAGCGTCGGCGGGAATGGTGCGCACCGCCGCTTCGAGGACGGGGAGCCATTCCGCTGTTGTGTGGTCAGTAACTGTTATGGGGAATAGGGCAGAAGGAGATGGGCTTAGGGGGAGGGGTGGGGGGAAGATTTGGAACGTACTCTTCTGCCAGGTGGAGATGGTCAATACTCCCCCAGGCTTGAGGATGCGGAGGGTATCTTTTTTTGTCAGTCAGTTGTGGTTCCTTTCGGCAATCGAGGCTGAGGGAAGGGGGAGGAGTACCGTTCAACGCGGCGTAGGTATCCGGGAACGACGTCCACGCTATACACAGAAGTTAGGTTCGCCTAGCAACGCGCAGCCTGGCTAATGGTGAAGAAGAACCCACCCAGCGCCGCAAACACATGCGTCAACTCCGCGGCCGGCAGCTCCGTGTTCTGCGCGTCCATCACCCGCGCGCTCGAGTTGGCCGACCACCCTTCCTCGACGATCTTGCGCTGGACGTGGCCTGTCAGCTCCGTCGAGATGTCGCCGCACACCAGCGCCCAGCAGCCCACCGGCTGGTCCGCCAGCACCTCGTGAAGCTTCTCAGACACCACCCCCGTTCCGCAGGCCAGGTCCAGCACCTTCAGCGGCCGCTGCTTCGACGCCAGCACCCCGGAGAGGGCGATCAAATCCTCCGTGAAGTACCGCGTAATCTTCTCGGCGATCAGGTATGTCTCCAGGATGCCTTTGCCCGAGTACAGCTCGGTGAAGTTGGTGGCGCGGGTCATGATGGTGGGTTTGGAGGGCGGGTGTGTTATGGTTGTGGTTGTGGTTGTGGTAACAAAAGATAGGGTTGCGGTGGCACTTGGAGATGAGTTAAGAATCGAAGATGACGAGGCCCGGGGAGACCAAGCTGCTGACCCGGGGCAGTTTCTCGATGTCATTTTTGCTTTTGGCTCGTGTTCGCCTCCAGTAACTCGCGGTGCAGGGACCCCACCTTCCCCCCTTACCTCCCCTATTTCAGGTGTTGTCTCAACTCCCAGACCGCCATCCACCCATCTTCACGTACATGCATCATCACAAATGCTAGGAGCAGGAGCTGCAAGGGGGAAGAGGGGATGAGGCGTGCCGAGGCTTCAATCCGTGCATTCGTCAGGAGTGCAAGTGCCGGTCACTCCGGAAATCCAGACCAACAGAGGGAGAGAGAGACACATCCCACCCTGACTTAGGAGAAGGAAGCACACTATCAGTCCACAGGATCCGGGGACCGTCGCACACCAGCTGGTCATACTATTCTTTTTTCAAGACAAGAAGCGGACGGACAAAGCACTCCAGCATGGGGACCATCACCATCTCCCAGCTCCTGTACTCGGGAATCGGGCTGGCCAGTTTGCTCCTCTTCCTGCGCGCCATCCTCGCCGTTTCTGGCCAGCATAAGCCCGTCAACTGGCACGCCTGGGATCCCTTCCAGCGCAAGGCGAAGCAGGAGTTTTCCTCCAATGCCCGGGGGCTGATTGCAAAAGGGCTCGAGGAGGTGAGTTGGGCCATTAGGCGAGTTGCCACGAGGGGTGGGGGGAGGTGTAGATCAATTGACATTATTCGGTAAACCCTAGGGACGCTCGGTGTTCCGGCTCGCCACCAACATGGGAACGTATCTCATCCTGTCCGACCGGTACGCGGAGGAAATCAGAAATGATGAAAGATTCAGTGCCTACGATGCGTTAGTGGATGTATGTTTCCCTCATCTTCCTGGCTAGCGATTAAGCATTGCATACTTCACCTACCGAATCTGAAATACTCATCCTTATGCACAAGGTCATTCTTCTGGAGTTACCGGGCTTCGAGACGAAGCTCAAAGGCTCGCTACATAACCATGTCTCTCCAATTGCTATCCAGGCCTTGAACAAGAAGCTTCGTGAGTTTTGTGCCTGGGAGAGGTTTGTAGCTTAGTACAGTAGCCCTAACTTACCGCCGCCACACCACCTTTACTTAGTGCACTTAACGCGCCCCCTCTCCGACGAAGCCAGTGAGTATCTACGCACCCAGTGGACCGAGGCGTCCGGTAAGTCAGTCAGTCCCATCAACAGTCTTCGCGCAGTCTAGCCAGTAGCGAACTAACCGGTCGATAAACCAGCAAACTGGCAGACCGTCTCCATCCGCGAGACCGTACTGTCGCTAGTGGCGCAGATGACGACGCGAGCCCTGATCGGGCCCGAGCTCAGTCGCAACCCCGAATGGCTCGAGATTGCCGTCAGCTTCACCACCAACCGCGCCATCGCCGTGGCCGCCATTCAGGCCTGGCCCCGCTTCCTCCAGCCACTGGCCCACTGGTTCCTGGGCCCCTGCCAGACGGTGCGCCGCCAGATCCAGCGCGCCCAGGCAATTTTGTTGCCCGTTCTGCGAGAAAAAATCAGCCGTGCCAACGATCCGTCGCGTAGGGAGCTTTCCACCCTGACGTTCATCGACCAGTGCGCCAACGGCGCGCGCTACGACGCCACGCTGGCGCAGCTGCGCCTGATTGCCGTCTCCGTCCTGACGACGGCGGATCTAGTGGAGAAGGTGGTGGCCCGCCTCGTGGAGCACCCGGAGCTGATCCAGCCGCTGCGCGAGGAAGCCATCGCCGTCTTGACAGCCAGCCCGCAGGGCATCCACCGCACCAGCCTGCTTAAGCTCACGCTGATGGAGAGCGTAATGAAGGAAAGCCAGCGGCTCGAGCCCGCCACCCTCAGTCCGTCCTTTGCCCCCTCCCCTGCCCCAACACGACCCTCGTCCCGGGTACCTTGAAACGCAACTGACAAAATCAAGTATCCATGTTTCGCGTTGCCAAAGAACCCGTCACCCTCCATGACGGCACCACCATCCCCAAAGGCACCCACCTCGCCTTCGCCAACGACCTGCGCCTCGATGCCACCATGTACCCGGACCCGGAGGTCTTCGATGGCTACCGTTTCGAAAGGATGCGGGCAGATCCCAGCACCGCCGGACTGGCCCCATTCACGAAGACACGCATGAGCCACTTGGCCTTCGGGCACGGGAAGCACGCCTGTCCAGGCCGGTTCCTGTCGTGCGATGAGGCGAAGTTGATCCTGTGTCATATGCTGCTCAAGTATGAGATCCGGGCGCCAGAGGGGGGCGTTGGCGGGGTGGCGGTGCGTGGGATGTTTGTGCAGCGCGAGCCCGGGGCGCGGATGGTGGTGAGGTGGCGCGGGGTCGAGGGTGGGTTGGCGAAGATTCTGCAATAATTCCGATGCAATCAGATACCATGCTGGGGTTCTTGAGGGTTGTCTGGGTCGCTCTAAAGCAGACTACATGCTGAGCATCGCATTTCTCCGGCATTGATCTCCGAAAGGTATATCCGAATACTTTACCAGATCATGACCATGTGTACTCTTTAAGTAGCAGCATAAATACTGTTTGATCCTTAGCAGAGATCAATCAGCAGAAGTGTAGCTACTTCAAATAATCCAAATATGATATGAGTTTATATTGTTTAAATGATGTGCATATACCTCCAGATCAGACTTTTCATCTAATGTATACTGCATACCTCAAAGGTATACTTGTTCACAATCGCTAATGAGACATTTGAAATTCATTACTACTTCGACTAGAGAGCTGAGAGAATTATACAACTCTTAACCATGGAGAGTGTTCATCGAATTTCTACGCTGATGCGTTCGCTTTGTAGTCATGCGCAAACTGATATTCACAGCCTTCCGGGACATTGCGCGGTCTGTACTCGCTCCCGTCTTGAATCGCTCGTTGGACCGCCGGAAACTCCTCGTAGACATCCCGGTGAACATCATACCCAAAGATCCACTCAGGCCGGGGGAACTTGATCACCGCCGGGTTCTTCTCGATTGCCTCCCAGTCGGGGTCGCGCATCTGCCCGTAGATGGCATTCCCACTCTCCTGGATGAGGCGCGTCCGCTGGTATCGGAGAGCCTGAACGGCCTGGAGACCCAGGCGCACCCGCGACTTGCCCGTAAGCTCCAGACAGATAGCCAGCGTCGCCGCATCCTCGATCGACTGCCCACCTCCCTGGCCCGCAATGGGGGACATGGCGTGGGCGGCATCGCCGAGGATCATGATGCGTCCGCCGCTCGAGATCCAACGTGGCAGCGGATCCCGGGCAATGATCTTATAGTCCGCCAGCGTCTCGCTTGGGGTATGCCGGAGGACGGCGGCGATCTTCGGGTAGATTGGCCAGTCTTGCAAGAGGGCCAGGGCATCATCCACACGAGCCTTGGTGGTGTTCTCCCAATTCTCGGCCGATTGCGCGTCGTTCTGGGTATTCTTCCGATCAGTACAGTGCATCACTCACTCACGCTGGCAGACAAGGGACACTGACTCGATGCCAAACCTGCCAGATGACATTCTGACCACGCTTCCCCGTAGCCAGGGTCAGCCCCAGGCCACCGTCGGTGATGTATCTCCGCATGCGATCCTGCTCGCCGACTTCCTTCAAAATCCATGCGGCGTCCGGATCCCCTGCGACGAGTTCCGCCCGGAAGCACGACCGATACGCGGCTATCCCAGAGTCCTGCGTGGGGATGCGGTACCCAAGAACAAAGTCTCGAGTCCGACTGTGCACACCATCCGCGCCGATGACGCAGTCGGCGGAGATGGTCTGCACTCCGTTCACGGTCACGCCCGCCTGGTCGCCGTCCTCCGACTCCCAGTACTCGGTGACGGCCGCCCCGAACCGCAGGTCAATCCCCAAGGCGGTGGCATGGCGATACAGTTCGGTTATCAGCGTGCCCCGATGGATGATCATGCCCTCCCCGACGCCGTAGCCATCCATCACGTCCATGGCATACAGCTTCCCGGCGGGGTCGAGCACCTCCATGGCGGCCACATCGTCAGACTGCGCAACGAGCTCGCGGTACACTCTACCTTGCTCCCACGTCCGCAGCACCTTGGTGGCATTGCTGCCCAAAGCAATGCTATCCCCTGTATCCTCAGTCAAGCCCTGTGCGCTGCCGAATGGTTGGGGGCGGGGTGTTGGGTACGAGCTCGGGAACCCTACCTAAAACACGAACCTCGGGGCTCTTCTCCAGCCCGATCACCGTATGGCCCTTGTAATGGCACTCGATGGCCGCCACCAGTCCCGCGATGCCCAGCCCCACGATCACCACCTCGATGCCACTGGACCGAGGCTCCGCGACCCCGGCCGGCCCTACCCCATTGGTGATTGTCATCTTGTGCGTGTGTGGTAACCTCTGCTCTGGTCTACTCGGCTCTAGAATGGCAGTGACTCGCAAAAAGATCACTAGACTATCCCGCTGATTTATGGCCGCCTGATCAACCGATCGCCTTGCATGGAGGAGGGGGAGGTGAGCGTCGGATGAGCGGTCTGGGGAGTGAGGCTTTGGTCGTCGAATCTTCATGACGCAGTGGGCAAGGCCTGGCATTCTCCCTTCAATGCCTCTGGGCAGTCATCCCCGCCGCGCCGGCATGGGAAGGCCCAGATGTACCGTACGGTGTAGCGCTTGGTGATACAGCCGGCGGCCTAGCCGCAGGCAACGCATTTGCATCGCCGATCGGGCAGAATGTCTCGTCTTGGCTGATTTCCCCCTCCAGCAAGCGAATCTCGCGACGATAACCCGATGAGGGAATAAATTGCAGCAGAATCCACGCCCTGCAGAAATGTCTGGTTCTGACGAATTTACTCGGCCTCGTTCTGCGGCTGCCTGTGCCGGGCCATACACAGCGCTCGTCTGTTATCATGCAAGGGGGGAAGGAGGGAGATGGGGCAATTTTATTATTGCACCATGCGTCTGCACCTCTGATGTAATTAATGAACGTGGCCAAGACAAGGAGGCAAGGGGAAGATAAAATGAAGATATGTAGTCTCACATGGGGGAATCTGTGGAGGTTCTTCGTACTTTGGGGGGTGCATATGCGCATAGCCCGGCCCACATGTAAACAGGGCGGCGGCCAAGACCCTCGGCTCCCCCTTGATTGTGGCGGCTACGCAAGGATATTTTCGGGCTTGTCTGGTGTTCGCACAGGATCAAGGGAGTTTGGGATGTGGTGGACTACAGACTGGGGTGTGAGGGGGCCAAGCTTGCTGTGTTCTGCTATAGAGGCTGGAAGATTGTTCCGGTCTTCTGCCTCAGGCCACGAGGTACAATACAGTCCAGTAGGGCCGATGACGCGTGACAAGTTGTAACCCTAACCATAAATGATTCCGTTCAATACACTCCCCGCCTACCTGGCAATCTTAGTAGACCTGCTAGAGACTACAAACCCATGGCTGGATTCAAACAGAGGAACTTGAACAAGCTGTTCCAAGGGCTGGGGAAAGAGATATGATAACTTTGACCGGATATTGGTATACGACACGATGTTAGTACAGCCTACCGCCGGGGGAACAAGGATCACCACCACCATCAATAGACATGCTTAGCGTCCAACCAATATGATTATGATAACCACGTCGCTATTTCTCTCTAAGACTATCATTCATTTAAGCCTAGCCTCGACAATCCCCATGATATCTCCCGGCTTCCTCCACACCTGCACCAGCTCAAGCCCGGCACTGTCCAGCAGGCTTGCAAAGTTCTTCGCGGTGCGTTCGATGCCTCCAATGGCCATCAAGCTCAGATCTTGCCAAGCGTGAGTCATGGTCGCTCCCGTCTCCGGGACGATGATGTCGTGGATCAAGAGCCGGGACTGGCTCCGATCCATTGCGACCGCCGTATTCTGGAGGATCTTCATCGCTTCCGGAACATCCGGCCAGTCGTGGAAGATGCGCCGGAAGTAATAGATTGCGGCGCCTGCTCGAAAAGATGTAGATGAGCCATCACGCCCGTCCCACGGGTCTGCGGGAGAAAAGAAGGTCAGGCTTACCGCGGATTGGCTGGGCTTGCTTCAGAAAGTCGTAAACCTGCGGTTCGATCCCATCGGCTCGCAGCGTCCGGCTGTGTTCACGAATGACGGGCTCAAGATCCTGTACGATAAACCGGCGGCCCTGCAAGCCCGGGGCTATCTTCCTGATCTGGCGCGTGGCGTTGCCATGGCTGCCGGCGATGTCGACGAGGGCAACACGATCTTCGGCGGCACCGCCTAGCCGATCCTCCCATGGGTACCGATCCATGGCCATTTGCTCCACGTCGGCCGCCTCGGCCTTGGTCACAGGGGCAACATGCTTCGGGTTCTTGTAGAGGTACTCGAACATCGTCTCGCCCGGACAGTTGTGGGCCAGGGTGAACGGGTTGTTTCGGGTCGTGATGGCGTCTTTCCAGTCATGCTGGCCAAGGAAGTCGCAGATCTGCAAGACTGGCCCGAAGATGAAGTCCGCCCTGCGAAGAGATTCTTGCGGTCAGCCACAGAATGCGAGACCATGGGACAAAGAACTGGATTGGCCTCCATGCTCGACTACGCACATTACCGGGAAGCAGCCCGCGATGTCCGCGGTCAGATATGCCTCAGAGTACGGCGTGTGGGCATACTCCTCTTCGCCGGTCTCGCGGAAAGGACCGAATGGCGTCACGGCTCGCATCAGGCGTACTGTGTGCTCATCAGCATCGGGAGACGTCCGAGATGTGTCGACGACATTACCCAGGACGCTCTTCTCCATGCCCGTCCGGGACGAGATTTCGCGGGCCGTCATCGGAGCTCCGCCCTTGGGGATGGTGTGAAAGACCCCGGCCGCCAGCAGAGTTCGCAGGGATCCCACTTTGACGATCTATCCGATGCTCAACTCATGGTCATTTCACTGACTCTCACGACATAGAGAGGAGCGCTCACTAACATCTTCAAAGGAAGACAGCGCGGAGGGAACAGGGCCCCGGAGGGTTTGGATCAGGCTGGACGCCTTTCTCTGAAGGTCGAGCTTAGCCTCATCGCCGGTGGTATCACCATCACCAGCACCCATGAAGCGCTGGGCTGCGGCAACTATCGCATCAACATCTGTTTGCACGGCCAGCCGCTGCGCTGCTTCAGTCTTGTCGGGGACCGTCATGGTAGTGGGTAACACTGTTTTTGGCATCCGTGTATCACAGAGAAGTTGCCATTGGGTACAAATAGGATTGGAACTTCCTTGAGCCGACTCCAAAACAGGACAGAGCCCCGCGAGTCATGGTCTTACCTCCTGGCCTTCAAATTGATGTCGGCATTTACCCTATCTGGACCGACTGGTCGCTTTTCCAAGTTCGTCAACCCGCTGCCCTGTATTGGTCTTGCCCGCGTTTACCTCCCACGGAATTCCACCTTGCAGATGAGAACGAGATGTCGTTGATCAGATCCGTCGTTCTAGATTGTTACATTCTGTACGCTACGAGGGACTGGCTGTCGTGCTCCGTCCCCAATTACACTGATCAGCTCTGGGTAGAGTATAGTATGCTGATTTTTTCTGCACGGCTGGCGCGCATAACCCAGCTGACTTGCAGAACCGGTTTGGCTGGGGTTCGTGGCTGGCTCGTACGGAATGCCCCTGCAGTTCCTTGCTTGGGTGCTGTGCGTCATCTCGCTCGCAGGGCCCCTTACTCGACAGGAGCCATGCGCGGCGTCTTTGCTAGTCCGAAATCCCCTTCGTGTATAGATGCCCCCTCGCGCGAGCTCGGCTGTACATGTTTTCTTGATTTTTGCAGACTTCTCGCGGGTCGTGGTACTACTATGCAGTCGACAATGGTTACTAGACACCGTCACGTGATTGCACTGTAAAGTGCTGTCCTTCAGGCCATTACCAGAGACTGATCCAGGCCTCGAGATTGGAAATTCTGGGTGGTTATACACTTGGGAGTAAAGTAGAAGCGTCATACAGGTGTGAAGCAGACTTTAGGCAAGTAACTGTAAGCACCCAGATAATATTCCCTAGGTGAATCCTCAGTTCTTCGAGGCTCGCAACCCTAATCCTTCATCTTGTTTTGCACACGCGTCAGCAGTTTAGCGAATATCAATCGCATCGGTTCTCCATTCATTTGAATCTTGCTTTAACGTTGTTTAGGTGGTCAAGAGAGATACACGTTCCCACTTATACCTCTTGGACCAATGCGAAGATCAAAAGCGTCAATTGAGTTGAACAATAGGCCGGGGCCGCCCCCCTCCCCCCCTCCACCCCCGACTTCGGGCAGCAGCATTGATTGAAAGAAATAGTCATGACCGTGATTCTCGGCTCGATAGCTCAGAACAGATCCCCCAGACGTATCACAGAGCCTCTAAGATGATCGCTTGCTCTGCAACCTTGAACCATGCATCCCCTCGCTTCTGGGCCGCCCGGCTGTCCGTGGCGGACTTGCCAGGTGAGCGGAGGCGATGATGCTCGACCGTATACGCCACCAGCACCTTCAGGATCGTGTCGGCCAGCGCCTGGGCGATGCACTGGCGCGGCCCGAACCCAAAACGCCAGAACCGGTAGCGGAAATACGCGCGGGATTCGGCCAGGAAGCGCCTGGGCCGGAAGCTCGTGCGGTCCGGGCCCCAAGACTCGTCCCGGATATTCAACGCATTGGTATCGACCACCATGTAGGTGCCCCTGGGGATGCGGAATCCGCCGACATCGCGCGCCGTGGGGATCGACTGGGCGTAGGTGTAGTTCGTGACGGGCCGCAGCCGCGCGGACTCGTTGATGCAGCTCGCTAGTAGGGTCGAGTTGCTGGCAATGTACCGCGCCCAGGCACCGTCGCAGTTGTCCATCCGTACCTCTGCGATCTCCCTTCGGAGCTCCTCCTGCGATGCTGGGTCCTCGGCGAGGAAGGCCGGGATCCATGAAAAGCTGCCGATCGTGACGTCGATGTTCGCGAAGAGCGCCTCGTCCAGGGTATGCATCAACTCCGTTGGAGTGAGCTGACCGCGCTCGACCGCGGCATACAAAGGCACGATGGCGCATGCGGTGCCCTGGCCGCTGGCCTTGGCGCGTCGATATGCTTGCCGGTTAAATTCCGCCCATCGCCCGTGGAAGACACGCAACTTAGCCCGGATAGTTGGCGAGAAGAGCTTCGTGACGGAGAAGAGCGAAAGCCCACCCTTGAAAGCATACTGGAAGACGTCGGTCCGCAGGTTGGTGATATGAAGGAGTTCTTGCACCATGTCCGGAGGCAGTTCTCCGTAAAGGAGATCGCTGATGACCCAGAACGGCAAAAGCTTAAGATCCTCGGCAGGCTTCAGACGCCACGCCTCCCCAGCTTGATATTCCCCATATAGCTCGTTGAACTGCCGGGCCACCCGTGACTGGACCAACGGAACGTAGGTCGTGGCCTTTTGCGTGAACGGAGGCGAAACCACCGCATGGACACGTTTCCAATGCCCCTGGCTGATGAGGCCCACCCCATCCCCAACTAGGTCGCCCATCACCCAGCCCCCATTTAGGTTTGAGGCTTTCAGGTGATCTCCAGAGTCTCTGAAGACCGTTTTGATCTCCTCCGCTCGAGTTAGAATGCTGGCAAGCATTAGTACCTGGATACCCATAACTGCGAATCGGACACGTACATCTCAGGCGTCAGGCCAACCCAGATACGATAGACCGGACCATACTCCTCCGCCCACCGACGAGAGACCTTTTCGTATTCGAGAAATTTGAGGCTCCCTCCACCATCCGGAAATTGATACGGGCACGTCGGGATTGAGATTTGGCCGTCTGCTGAATGGATTGGATACCACCAAAGCAAGAAACACTGCAAATTAGGGCTTGTTTTCGCAATGGCATCGGTGGAACGAGACCAACATTGATCAAATAGGAGAAAAACCGGTTAGGCCAAGTGTCCGGCGTAAATGCGCGCCAGAATGCCAGTAAGACCAAGGCCAGGCTGATCTGGATTGTCAGAGCGATTGGACTGGGCATCATGTGAATCCGGTTGTTGAATTCTCTGAACAGTGGATACCCAGGAGGTCAAAAGCCAGAGACGAGGCGAGCCTGGACCACATAAGCTGAAATTACGTGTACTGGACTCATTGACTGACTGACTGAGAGTGTAGCCGCGCGCCGCAATTTCCTCATCAGTGATGAGCATGTGGTGGTTGCCATGTAAGGGTCTGGTCGCAAGTGGACTTGTCTTGCTCTCGGAAGCGCCGATCTCCAGGCATGGACAGCGCGGTATGCGGGAATCCAACGGGGATGATGTTCGTTTCGGTCGCGCAAGGGCGATGTCTCTCAGCCCCTGACTCGCTTAACTAGCTCTTGGCCATTCTGCAAATATGCCCAGGGCAGAGCAATCGGCATTAGAAATGATATCATCACCTCGAACGCAATACCGCGATCTCGGTCACTGCTGAATACTATATCCTCCAAGTGCAGAGGCCCTGCCGCTCCACCAAACCTCTTGATTTGTTTATACTCGTCAGAGGGGTTTCACCATGAACTTTTGTCATGATCGTCATGTTATCTCTTTTCCTCTAGATGAGGAATTGATAGCGAAATGGACCGCGAGCGGCACATCTATGCCACCAGCGCATCCGCTTAAGGCAGCATGGGCGCTGTTACTTTCCCGAATCTCGGGCGTGCCAACAAGCAGATTTGGTGTCGTTGAAACACCGATGGCTTCGGTCGTTGATCCAAAGGCCATTTCCAGGAGCTCGGAGCTACCGCATGTAGAGACCTGGGCGATATCAGAAAATGCGGACATTGCTCTGCGGGATGCGGCCGAGGAGCACACAGAGTATCCGGTGGAAACCGAGGCCACCACTGCTATCATCACCAGTTGGGACGGTGATACAGCCCTTGTAAGTGGAGAATGAGACCGTCTTCATCGTGCCAAGCGCTAATGGTCTCCGAGTTACCGTCCACCTTCGATACAATTTTGCTGTTGAAATGCGGCCTGTCACCGGCTCAAATGTACATGAGTTTCTCGATAGAGTCTCTCACAATAAGCCGAGCCTGGGCACAATTGGCTTCTGTCGTTCGGGTCCTGGAGCAGATGATCCTGACTCCCGATTTACCGCTTTCCAAGGTAGACTTTCTCGGGTCCCATGGTGAGAAGACGATTCGGCAATGGAGCAATCCTTATTCCCTGTCCAGACCGAATGCATGTATCCACACGTTGATCCAGGAGCATTTCCAGAGTCAGCCGGATGCTGAGGCTCTGTGTGCCTGGGATGGCTCCCTCACATACGCCGAGTTGGATCAGCTATCGCTAGCAATCAGCATTCTGCTGCAGGCCCATGAAGTCGGCCCTGAGACGATTGTGCCGCTTCTGTTTGAAAAGTCCCGATGCACCGCCATCGCCATCTTGGGCGTGTTGCGGGCAGGTGGCGCTTTTGTTCTGTTAGATCCTTCCCATCCTGTTCATCGTCTGGATGAAATCTGCGTCGAGGTGGAGGCAGCATTTATCCTCACCTCTCGTTCGCTGCACGACCTGGGCGGCCAAGTACATCGGCAAGCAATCGCAGTGCCGGGAGCCGATATGGAGGTGGATGAAGCCCACTTCAATTCGACCCCAGTCGTCAATTCAGCCAATGCTGCTTATGTGGCCTTCACATCTGGATCGACGGGGAAGCCCAAAGGCATCGTGATTGAACACCGGTCTTTCTGCGCAAATGCCCTCGCGCAGAATGCGGTTCAGAATCTGAGTTCCCGCACTCGTGCCTTCCAATTTGCCGCCCACTCCTTTGATAGCAGTATTCTCGAGATGCTCATGACGCTCATAGCGGGGGGGTGTGTCTGTATACCTTCGGATGAGCAGCGTCTAAACGGGCTATCCAGCGCGATTAACGACCTCCAGGCCAACTGGCTGGAACTGACGCCGTCTGTTGCACGTTTCCTCCAACCTGATCAGATACCGGGAGTCAAGTCAGTGCTACTCGTCGGTGAGCCAATGTCACATAAGGATGTGAGCCAATGGGCTGATAGCGTCCAACTCTTGAATGCATACGGCCCTGCTGAGTGCAGCGTGGTAACCACCATCCAGCCCCGCGTGAAGGCAAACGACCCCCAGAATATCGGGCGCTCCTACAGCGGTCACTGCTGGATTGTCAATCCTCAAGATCATGATCAACTGGAGCCTCTGGGTGCCGTTGGGGAGCTGATTGTCAGTGGGCCGATCGTGGCCCGAGGATATCTCAATTACCCAGGCCAGACCTCGTTCATCAGCAAGCCCCTCTGGGCGACCCGGTTCGGTATCCCCGAAGATGAGCGGTTCTACCGGACTGGAGATCTCGCTCGGTATAACGTGAATGATGGGACCCTGCAATACATTGGACGGAAAGACCGGGAGGTCAAAATCCATGGTCAGCGCATTGACCTGCAAGAAATTGAATGTCTTGCGTCTCAATACCGGAATAACGTAGCGGCAGTCGTTGATATCATTCACGTTGGAGACAGCAGCGCAGGCAAGCTTGTGACAATTTTTCTGGCATTCGCAGATAAACGCCTGTGTTCCGATAGCTGCAAGGGTCAGGTTGTCTGTGCAGATGCTTCCATGCGTTCGGTGTCTGCGGGCATGAAAGGCTGGCTCCAAGACCGGCTGCCGCCATATATGATTCCTACCAAATACCTCTGGGTGAATGGCTTCCCTTTGACGCGAACGGGAAAGCTCGATCGACGGACATTGGTGGATTGGGGAACAGCAGCGACCCTTGCACGAACACACAATTCACAACCAGAGTCCTCAACCACGAATAGCCACGCTGATGGTGCCTTCGATCACAACTTGCTATCAAAAGAGGACCTTATCCGTTCATTATTTGCTGAGGTGTTAGATTGTCTTGAGCAGACCATCGGGATACATGATGACTTTTACGAACTGGGGGGAAATTCGCTGGCTGCAATTGAACTTGTCGCTCGAGCACGCAGTCGAGGGCTAGAGGTGACAGTTGCAGAAGTCATTAGTTCTCAAACTCCCTATCAGATTGCCAGGGCCTCTTTGGAGACTAGGGAAAGCCCTGAAATTCCACCTTTCACTCTTCTGGGGAACCATGATGCAGAAGAGATTCTATCTACTGCCGCCGTCCAGTGCCAGGTCCTGCCAGGTCAGATCGAGGACATTTATCCGTGCACCCCTCTGCAAGAAGGCCTCATGTCACTGTCAACGAAGAAAAGGCCGGGAGCCTTCATCGGGACGTACCGATTCTCAATACCTGCTTCAACGAGCGTGGCTCAGCTGCGTGCCGCATGGGAACGGCTTTGGATCGCACATCCGATACTACGGACTCGGATCGTTTTGGGGAAGGATGGAACCATGATGCAGGCCGTCATAAAAGAAGATTTACCTTGTAGGGAAGGATCATGCGCCGAAGATGACCGACGATCTATGGGCATCGGCAGCCCACTTGCACGACTGACAATTCAGCAATCCAATGCCCCTGTCCTATTTATTCTCACGATCCACCACGCAATCTTTGATGGATGGTCGTATGTACAGCTACTCGAGGACCTGCACAGCTTTTATGAAGGCCAGTCACCACCATCGCGACCCGCATTCACCCAGTACATTCGATATCTTGCGAATTCAGATTCGAACATGAGTCATTCTTTCTGGGAAAAGGAGCTCAAGGGTTACCAGTCTCCCGCATTCCCATCATTCTCGGCCCAACGGCCATCGACCTCACCTCGGTGGCTTGTAAGTAGCCATCAGGTCTCCTTAGCCGACCTTGAGGTCAACTGGAAACTCGCAAACCAAATCAAGCTGGCATGGGCATTGGTCGTATCCTCCCAAGCAAACTCCGACGACGTCATATATGGGCTGACAGTTACTGGCCGAAACGCTCCGGTTTCTGGGATTGATCGTATCACTGGCCCGACATTCACCACATTCCCCTTCCGGACACAGTTGAAGTCTAAGCTATCTGTCCAACGAATGTTAGCTGAGATCCAAGAACACGATGTATCTATCATGCCATATGAGCATACGGGCCTCAAGACTATCGCGGAGTCAAGCCCAGAGGCACCTTGGGCTTGCAGCTTTCAGAATCTTTTGACCATCCGACTCCGCTCATCTAAGAGTCCATCCTCAGCTTTCCTTGACTTACCTGAGAATGAAGCTGAAGACCTGAACTTTGCATCGTATCCTCTTTCAATTGTGGTCCAGCGGGAGGACATCTTGCTGAAAATCAAAGCATTTTATGACAGTGAGATCTTGACTCCCAGCGTTGTCCAGGCCTTCCTCGATGACTTTGAAACTTTCTTGCAGCACGTCATCCAGCGGCCCGAATCCATGATTGGGGATCTGAAAAGTCTTGTCTCTCAGCGATGGCAGCAGGTGGCAGAGATCAATACAGAAGCCCATGGTCAGCCGTCCCCGCAGTGCATTCACGACGTTATCCAAGGACTCGGTGTCACACAGCCGGAATGGGAAGCTGTGTGCGCATGGGATCGTTCCCTGACATACGGGGAGCTAATCACCATGGGACGTAGTCTCGCAGGCCATCTTCAAATCATGGGATCCGGCCCTGGGACGATTATCGGAGTTTGTCTGGAGCGCTCGGGATTATTTCCCGTCGCGATTCTAAGCGTGTTGATGTCTGGGGCTGCTATGGTGTTGTTGGAGCCGAATTTCCCGCAAGCGCGTTTGCTGGGGATTCTGCATGATGTGGATGCGCAATTCGTTATCTGCTCTCCGGGGTTACAGGAGAAGTTCGAGGGCGAAACCAAAACAAGAAGGAATATCATCCCCCTCGCGTGGGATCTCAGAGAATGGAAGAGTTGTAATTCCTGGATACCACCGCCGGTCAGCCCTAGCGATCCGATGTATGTTGCATTTACTTCCGGATCGACCGGTACCCCCAAGGGGGTAGTGATAGAACATGGGATGGTCTACTCGACGATCCATGCCCACAAAGATGTTATTGGCGCAGCACAGGCGTCTCGGTGCTTGCTTTTCGCCTCGCCGGCGTTCGATATTTTCCTGGCGGAAATATTCTTCATGCTCGCCACTGGCGGCTGCGTCTGTATTCCCTCGGAAAGCCAGCGCATGAATAGCTTGGCCGAGGCCATGTCAGCCATGCGGGTTAACATGGCCATGTTGACCCCTTCGGTGGCGCGGACTTTCTCCCCGGAGAAGGTGCCATCCCTCCAGACACTGATCCTCGGGGGTGAGTCCCCCTCGGCGTCTGACCTGGCAACATGGGCCCCGCGAGTCCGCCTGCATCAGTCATACGGACCGGCGGAGTGCACCATGTACGCGACGACAACGGCCCAGTTGGGTCCCGAATCCGTTCTGAACAATGTGGGATCCTCTGTAAATGCAACCTACTGGATCGTCAACCCGGAAAATCACGACGAGCTTATGCCTGTCGGATCAATGGGAGAATTGTTGATAGGCGGTCCTCTTGTTGGTCGAGGCTACATCAACCGACCCACAGAGTCGGCAGCTGCCTTCATTCAGGATCCGGCCTGGAGTCAACAGATTCCTGCTCTGAGGGGCTCGCGACTATACAAAACCGGAGACCTTGCCATCCTGAATCGGGACAAATCCTTGCTCTTGATCGGTAGAAAGGATACCCAGGTGAAGCTCCACGGACAGCGCATCGAGCTGCACGAGATTGAGCGCTGTGCCGAGGGTTTCGGGCACGATCTTGCAGTAATCGTTGAGCTGGTTGAAATTCAGAGCGTCAAGACATCGAGTCTGGTCGCGTTCGTCTACAATCCGAACACGGTTGATAGAATACTACCTATCACACCGGCTCTCTCTGACAATCAGGGGCTATTCCTACCCCCGTCAGCAGGCAATCGTCAACTCTTTGACGGCCTGCGGAAGCATCTCCAGCAGCAACTGGCACCATATATGGTACCGTCGCTAATGCTAGAACTGTCGCGCCTACCCCTCGGTCCAACCGGAAAGACCGACCGCAAGACACTTAGGCACGCTGCGTCGATGCTTGAAAAGGAGACCCTGAGAATGTATCGCGAAGGAGTCGCTGGGTCGAAGATGGAACCGACGACGCGCCAGGAGCGGTTTGTGCGTGCAAGCTTTGCCACTGCGTTATCACTGAATAAAGAGTCCATCGGGCTATATGATAGCTTTTTCGCTCTGGGCGGTGATTCCTTGAGTGCCATGCGGGTGTTGACCCTGTGTCGGCGGGGAAACATGAATATCTCCATGCAAGAACTCCTCTCCCACAACACGGTATATTCGCTTTGCGCTTATGCCAGTAGCTATCACGAACAATTTTCGGATCCTGCTCTCAAGAAGAGTGTGTATCCTAAAGATCACTCGGAGGGCGAGGCTCTTTCTGTCCATCCTGTTGATGTCGCTCACGACCTCGAAAGGATTCGATCTCAATTGACCTCGCTACAGTCGCATAACATCGAGGACATATATCCATGCTCGGACGCTCACAATGGTATTCTGGAGCGGTATACTTCCAAGTACACGAGTACGGCGATCTTCCGGGTCCTCCCCAGTGGCTCGGTGAGTGCAGCCCAGGTGAGTAATGCCTGGGTTCAGCTTGTCAAGCGCCATGCGGCATTGCGCACAATCCTTGTCGACGATCCCAAGGCCCTTGTAAAGAAGCTTCATGTCGTTCTGCACCCAGGCACCGTGCAGAGCCCGATTTGTGTGTCCAGCGGCACGGCACTTGCTGATTTGAGAACCCTTCGACCCGTTGAGTCGTGGGACCTTTCCCCTCTGTACCGGCTTTTCATCGGGCAGGATGGCAGCGGAGAGGTGTTCATGCGGTTGGAGATGGGTGGGGCGCTAATTGATGCCTTTTCCATGTCTATTCTCATGAGGGAGCTTTGTTTCATCCTCGATGGGCAGCCGCTGCCATCTATCAGTGTCACGTATCGCCAATACTGGACTCATCTACAGCAGCAGCAATCATCGGCCAAGGCCTTGCAATATTGGTCGCATGTGCTGCATGATTCACAGCCATCACACCTTTCACGACGTCCAGCGGACACGCCTATGCCCTCTTCCCCCTCGCCGCGTGCGCAGAGCCGCCGTCTCTCGCTTACCCAGTTCCACGACCTCAACGCATTCTGGAGGTTCCATCACTTCACCATTACCAACGTCTGTCAGCTGGCCTGGGCCTTGACTCTCAGCCGCTACACCAACGCTCGCGACGTCTGCTTCGGCACGGTCACGTCCGGTCGCGAGGATCCGCAGCTCGATGTCTGGGACTCGGTGGGCTCCTTCTTCAACATCCTCCCCTGTCGACTGGCCCTGGCTGCCGACGGGACGGTGTTGGAGGCTTTGGCCCGGAACCAAGCGGAGATTCAACGGCGAGCCAAGCACCAGCACTGTTCGATGCCCGACATAGTCCGCAAATCCGGGGCACAGCTAGCCAATGACCCTGACCAGCAGTTGTTCAATACCGTGCTGACCGTACAAAGTACCGTCTCGACCAACTCGCACCCAGCACGTGTTCAGCGTAACGAGACTGCGGCTGCAACTATGAGCACTCAAGTCGAGCTCCTTGATCTAGAAGATCCCACCGAAGTGAGTCACCCACCCAGCCGCTCATCTCAGAAACATGAGCCGTCCACCCAATATCGAGAATTCATAAACCATCCAAGAAAAATTAAAAGAAAGAGAAGCTAACACCCGGAACTAGTACGACTTCTGTCTCGCAGTGCACACCTCGCCGTCCCAGATCGAGATCGAGATCCGCTACTGGACGTCGACCGCCTCGGAGAAGTACGCCTCGGAGCTCCTGGCCCAGATGCTCGAGTATCTCGACTTGATCGTGCGGCATGCGATGGCGCCACTGCAGCAGGTTCTATGGATCGAATCATAGTGTCGTTTCCTGGCCCACGCCTCCTTTCGACCGACAAAAAGAAAACTAGCAGTGCGAGCGCCGACGCTCATCATGGACGCACCGCAACCCCCCCCCCCCCCCCCTTCCCGTGCTAGCTTCCAAAAAGCGGCGAAGGCGACATGCGTCTGCTTTAAACTAGGAAGTCTAAGGTCTCAAGATGACGGGCTCGAGCGTTCCGGAACGGCCGGCTTAGTTTATTCTCCTTTTTTACTTGGTATCAACCTTCTGTGGGTGATGAATCGGTGACGGCCATCGTCGGATTGCGAGGAGAGGGCAGTTAATTCCACGGGGAGAGAGTGAAACTCCCAGTGCCGGGGGGGGGGGGGGGGGGTAGGCATACAAAGGCAATACTCCGGCCCCAGTTAGGGCATCTCTCCGGGGTACAGAGTAAACGTGCCATGAACAAGATGAGCGGGGAGGGTGTACTGTACAGGATGAGAAGTTCCTACCGTCAAGCCAGGCTATTTCAAAAGATAGTATCTTCTGTCCGGAGAATCGTTCCCTCTTTGACCGGATCACGCAACAACGGACGGGGTTTCGATCCACCCCATTGCGAAAGACTGGAAGACTAGCTAATCGCTCCTAGAGCAAGAAGAAAACTATAATGGGATATGAAAGGGAAAGCTGAGAGGTGAGCTAAGTGGGTGATGTTCGCTGGGTTCAGAATTGTGCATAGAAACTGAAAATAACGTGGAAAGAGAAAGGATTGAATGCTAGGTCGCATTCCATGTCGTTGATCTCGTTACGTCGTATGTACCTTAAAGTTTACTATGGCCAAATCGGTCTAAGCAAGGATGGGCCAAATCTGCCCTTGCGTGGTCACGTCCAACCAGGTTGGAATATACTCGCCGCGACTGGAAGTGATGTGCTCGTCCTGCTGCGTCCAGACCTCCTTCATGACCTCGCGCGCTACGCGGAACCCCGCGAACCCGCACCGCGCTTCTCCCTTGTCCAGCAGCTTCAGAGCCTCGCACCGTCGCTCGGGAGTGGTCGCTTCGCAGCCCGCGATAAACAGCGGCCATGTGGTACCCGGTCCGGTCTGCCCTGCTTCGGTCAACGCAGCGTCGAACTTGCTGAGCGACGAAATGACCTTGTCCACGTGGCCTTCCAGGATCAGCGGGTGTACCTCGCGAATGCGACGGTAGAAGAAGATGACCAGCGCCGAATTCAGCGCCTCGAGGAGGTACTCGTGCGTCTGGGAGCACACCTCCGAGAGATTCGGGGACGTGCTCGCGCTCTCGACTTTGCGCGAGGCTAATGCGCAGACCATATTCTCGAGTCGGGCGCTGCGGCGGTGTAGCGCGTCCCAGGCCTCAATGCTGGCTTTCTTAACTTGCGGGGTCCGCCGGGCCACCCGGAAGGTCTCCATTACGTTGGCCAGCCGTGTTGTTTGGGAGACCAGACTCAGCCAGGTCTCGGGGATCCCGTAGATCTGGTGATACAGAGTGTCTGAGTAGCTACGGGAGTCTTGGAGGTGGATGTCATGGAGACCCACATCTTGGCTTTTGGGTTCGTTGATATTCAGGTCGCTATCGGACGGGCCGCGGGCTAGACGGAGGAAGTCGTCTAATCGGGAGGTCTGTTCGCTGGTGGTGCTGGGTTTGTTGTTGCTATCGGACTTTTCGCATCGGAACGAGCATTTCAAGGCGTTCATGAATTGCTCCGAGGGGGTATAGTCGTGTAGGGTATAGGTGCTTTCCCCAATGATCCGAAGCCAAGTGTATACATGGTGAAGGAGGCGGGCTTTCTGGGAGATGCGCCGCTTGGATAGTCCCCGCAAGCGCAGCAGTCGCTCAGCGTCAACCATATAGCATCTTGCGTCTTGCTGCTGCCCGCTGATGATCTACGCGGCGTCAGTGATGTCGTACCTGTGGCTTGCGACTGATGCATGAACTTACAGCAAATTCGGTTAAGGCACAGATGGCCATCAGCTGGTCCTTGTACTTAGCAGCTTTAGGTTGAATCTCATGTCTTAGTGATGTCTGCATATGGTCCTTAGCGAGATTATATGCATGTTCGGCGATTGGCTGCCAATTTCCCCGAGATTCTGATGAATTCATTGATGGATTTAAGGTCAGATGCAGTGCAGAACATGCTAGAAGACAATACAGGTTTGCTAAGCGAGCGTGGCTGATGTTCTGTGACCCTAGAAATGTTAAATCACTGTACGTCACCACTGCAGATGGCACGTTCGTGATTTTCCACGGAGACTTCTGTTCAAGGGGAATAGCTGACATGCGCGAGATGACATGATCCTGGAAATGTCGCAGCAGAAAGTGGGCATCAGCCAGCACATTGACTGGGTCACTGGCCAAGGTCGAGGGTAGCTGCGGGATCAAGGTCGAATACGTTCGTTCTTGCTCCCCAGTTGTATCAAGGATTGGATCTGTTGTCCCTACCGCACCACCATTGACAGCAGCCTGTGCGTCTGGCTCGAGAAACAGAGCATCACCAATGTCAAAGGCCGTTGACATCATGGAGTCTGGCATTTGGAGATCGATACTAAAGAGATCCGACCATTGTAGCAGATCATTCATGTAAGCAATCGAGTCCTGCGACAGTGACGGGCTTACGACCGAGCTGGTTTCAACCAGGGGTGCTGGCACCGGCGGAGGGCTCACAACCTCCTCCGTGTCCCTAAATCTTTCTAGCTGCGAGGCAGTCTCTTCATGCTTTGTGCCCGACAGATCCAGGACAGCGAAAGGCCCGACCACGATGCTTTCATCGGTAGGTCGGTCTGAATCCCTCGCCCGGCTATCGATCTCCGCTAAGGAGGCATCGATAGACCCCGACACTAGCTCCGCGCTCAAGGCATCACTCATAGAAAGCCGTGACTGCTCTGAATTCAGTCATTAGAGGCCATCATGGAGATGAGGCAGAGTCAAGTCACCTGTGTAGAGAAGACGTCTCGGGCCCAACTGGGCCGGATCTTTCTTGAGTTTCCAGTCCCTCGATCGCGGCGGCGACTGATGCTTGCGCGCAGCTACCCAGCGAATATCATCGGTGAACCCCTCACATGTCACCCCGCTGGCCCGGCACATCTGGCACGAGGGTCTCCGTTGATCGCATTTGGCATGCCGGCGACGGCAGGTCTTGCAGGCTCCCAAAGCGTGGGTGCGACGGGATCGGTTGCCTGATGCCTTGGATCCTGCCATGACATCGGAAGTGATTGTCAATCGTAGCAATGGTGTGATGGGAAATGATTGAGTCTCAGATTCCGAGTTGATATCATGGGGAATCTGGGGTAATGCAGAGGTGTGTTGCTATATCAGGAAGCACCACAATCTGCAACCCCTCACTTTCCGCGGAACCTCTTTCCTCTTTCGCGGCGGTTACTGTCGGAAGGACCTGCTTTTTGGGGTTAGTGCCGACTTGTGTAGATAAGCCACCTTTCTTATCTAATATATGTTTCTTACACCGAAGGGCAAATGCGAACAGAAAGTAAGAACGAATCAAAGAAAGAGGAATAAAAGATAGATTGAACGTTGTAACTATGGCCGAGTGATATATGTTGCAATTCTATACAAGCCTAAAAGCTACGCCAAGCCCAAAGTCTCTACTTCAGCGCTGACAGCAAGGGGAATCTCCTCTTCCAACGTATGTCGTTCGGGCACCCATTTCAAGTAGTGGCGAGATCTTTGAGCCACCTGTCTCGCGTTCGTACCAAGAATAACTGCAGCATGTGGCGTGATGAAGTCCGCCTCGGTAGGGTCAATCTCCTTCACAGAAGCTGAGTCTGCGAGACCGAGCTTGTAGACCTCCTGTGCGATGCGCTGTGAAATCTCCTTAAAGGGCTAGTTGCTGTTAGCGGCTGGGGTATAGCACGAACGGTCCATTCACTCACCAGCATCGCGGTATTCACCGGAAAGTATAGTCCATTCTCATTCCACAACTCGCCGTCCGCATTTTCTAGTCCTTTCTCCACCAACTTGACGAAGATGTTGCTCAAGTCTGCAATGTGGATGTTGCTCCAGGTGCTCTCGCCCTTGCCCACTTGAACACCCTCCCGACGCTGCAGGTTTGCTCGCGCAAGCTCGGGAATTTGAATGCTTCGCTGCTTGACAATGCCTCGGCCGCGACCATAGATGATCGGGCCGAAGATGAGAGCGGTCTTAGGTCGCGTGGTTGCTGGGAGTAAGTTGGCAATAAAGTTGTCAACAAGGCGTTTAGATGAATAGCGCTTGATCAGCGCGTGCACCTTCTCGGCGCCGTCGACGTCACTGTAAATGCTGCTTGATGCCTGGCCGAAAGTATTGTGTTCAATGTCGGGCATGGAAAGAACGCTGGCGCCGGACATCTGGATCCAGTAGCCTGGTCATCATTATTAGCTGTCGCTCGCCTTTCGAATCGACCATTGCTCGCTACTGACCAGGCTTTGTCCTAGCTTCTGCTGACAGACCGCGTGCGATGGCTTCGACGCTCTTGATGTGGTTGGTGCTTGCGGCATCTGAAGGGAGAGTATGGGGTTAGCCATATGATTAATGGACTTCAGAGCGGTTAAACACACGGATGACAACGTCTGCTTGAGTGGCCTCCTTCTCAATGACAGCAGCTGCGTCCAAATCCCCAATCACCACGCGCACGTTAGGGTAGGCAGCCTGGACTTTCTTTGCCTTCTTTTCATCTCTCAGGAGGACACTGTAATCGCATTTGGGTAGAGCTGACCGAAGAGCGTGAAGAACATCGCCGCCGATATAGCCCGATGCACCAGTTCTGAAGAGTGGTGAGCATGATCTCGTGGACGACTGCGAGGGTGTTCGTTCTTACAGAAAGATCCTCGCCATTGTGATCAGAGTTGTGTCTGTTGCTGCGATGTAAATCTTTGGCTGTCAATATGGTACTGTCAATGAGAGATGAAGATGAAGAATGAGGGGGAAGAAAGGACTCCGCGATGTAAGAGATGGACGGGCGAGAGTAGCAGTCCCGGATAGGAAGGTGGTCCCGGGGACGACCTGCCTCAGGAGTCAAAACATCTCTAGGTAAATGGGATAACTCTCTATACTAGACGATATCGCCGATCGGTGTTTGGAGATGCGGATTCTTGCGTAGTAGAAGCGTTGCGTCTTACCATCGCAATTCTGATACCGTTTTGGGAAATCTTGTCCCAGAAAAGTGTCATGCGCCGGTGTTCCTCTCTCTCATATAACGCCCAACAAGATGCCGGGTGCAACACCCGTTCTCTGTAGTCTAGCCATTACTCTCTCACCATCACCATCTCCAATTCCGACTCCGTTTCCTCCTCAGTCCAGTGAGAATGGCCCACCGTGGAGTGAGTTATGACAAGAATGTCAGCTGCATCGCAGATCTGAAGGCTCTTGGAAGCCAGAACCTCCCTGTGATGGTCAGAGGTGTGCTACTGTGTCGAGCATGGCCAGCATACGCATCCAGCTGACGCGCTATAGAATACTATAATGAGGGTGCCATGGATCTCATCACGTAGGTCCGACTCGATTGTCACGCCTACATCCCTAACACAACTTCAGACTACGTGAGAACGAGGCTGCATTCGACCGGTACAAGATCCGACCGCGCATCTTGATCAACGTGGACAAGGTGGACACTAGTACTGAGGTTCTTGGCACGAAGGTACTATGCAACACTCTCTCCCCTCGAAATTGTCGCCCCGATACTAACCTCGTCTGTGCGCACAGGTATCGCTGCCTATCGGATTCAGCCCGGCAGCGTCGCACAAACTTGCGCACCCCGACGGCGAGCTGGCGACCTCACGCGCCGCTGCCAATCACGGCATCTGCATGGGTCTTTCCTCATATTCGAATTATTCGCTGGAGGACGTGGCCAGTCAGGGCCGTGGGAATCCATATGTGATGCAGATGTGTGTTTTAAGGGATCGTTCGATCACACTGCAGCTGCTCCGCCGCGCCGAGAAGGCCGGCTACAAGGCGCTTTTCTTGTCAGTGGACGTGCCTGTTTTAGGCAAACGATTGAATGAGCACCGGAACAACTACACTCTGCCGGAGGATATGGAATGGCCGAATATCTTGAGTTGCGGCAGTGATACTTCGGACCGGACTGAGTACGGTAGGTTGGAATTTCGAACCACGAAGATGCCTGCAATTGTTGACTTGAGGTTGCGTTAGATCCGAGTTTGGACTGGGAAAGCACCATTCCCTGGCTCAGGGAAAACACAACACTGCAAATTTGGTTGAAAGGAGGTAAGAACCAACCCTGATGGATTCGTCCGAGCCCACCTCTGATTAAATCTCCACAGTATATACCCCCGAAGACGTTGAGCTTGCCATCCAATACGGCCTCGACGGCGTCGTCATCTCCAACCACGGCGGTCGCCAACTCGACGGTGTCCCAGCCACTCTGGATGCTCTTCGAGAATGCGCACCGGTTGCTAAGGGTCGTATTCAAATCGCAATCGATGGAGGCATTCGACGCGGTTCCGATATCTTCAAGGCCATTGCTCTGGGTGCAGATTTTTGCTTTGTCGGACGAATTCCGATCTGGGGATTGGCGGTAAGTATTCTCTCTCGATCTCCTGCCATGGCATTACTAACGATAAACCTCCAGTACGACGGTCAGAAGGGTGTGGAACTGGCAATTCGGATTTTGCGCAACGAGCTGATGATTACGATGGCACTGGCTGGGTAAGGCCCTCAATTTATGAAAATTCGGTCCATTGCTAATTGAACTTAGATGCCGTTCGATTAAGGAAATCCAAAGGAGGCATTTGTCGATTCTCAAACCTGATGGCGTTCTTTCCAAGCTTTGAGAACGTTCTTTTTCCAGCCAATTTACCTTTGAGCAATTCGATGCTTAGTAATTTAGCCCATACTTGACACCTCTTCAGTGTTGTGCATCGTTTTTAATCAGAGTAGTTCAAGAGCCAGGGGATGCAGGCCCACGTGTCCAAACGCTTACCCCGCAGTACTTCACTGACCTCAACACAAGTCAGTCAACATCAGCACCATGGCTACAGCACCGCCCATAATCGACTTTGGAGGTTCGAAGCCAATATTAAATGTGGAGATTGTGCATCACTGATAATGCTTTGTAGTTTGGAACGAATCTGATCCAGAAAAGAAAGCAACTCTCGTTCGACAGATTCGAGAAGCTTGCCAGAGACATGGATTCTTCCAGCTGGTCAACCATGGCATTCCCCTCGGGATCCAACAGAATGTTCTCGAGCAGGCCCGAGACCTTTTCAGTCTCCCAGCCGAGGTGAAAGAGAAATACAGCATGGGTAGTTTGCTCATCGGGTTGTCGATTTAGCTTCAGCGATTGAGGGCAGGCTGACCTGTAAACGATTAGACATCGGCACGCCGAACCTGGGGTACGAACGCCTTCGCGCACAGAACTTCGAAAAACGAGGACCCGGCGATTTGAAAGAAGGGTTTTATTTGTGCCGAGAGCTCGCCCCGAACCATCTCGCCGTGAAGGCTGGGAAGTTCTCGCAAGGTGAAAACAAATATCCGGCCGAAATCAGAGATCCAACGCGGTTTCGCGCTGTGGTCAATGACTACCACACCCTCATGACCTACCTGTCTTGGGAGATCTTCCGCATACTAGCATTGACCTTGGATCTGAGAGAGGATTGGTTCGATGAATTCTGCCGCGAATCGGCGACCATTCTGCGGTTGTTGCGCTACCCGCCGCAGGAAACAGAGGAGTCGAGTTTGGAGCGAGGTACGCAAAGTCAACACCCTGACAAATGCAGCAGTACTGAGTCGATTTTGCAGGCATCGGCGCACATACGGATTTCGGCGGTCTCACTATCCTATTGCAGGACGATAAAGGCGGGCTTCAGGTCTGGGACCGCGAGGGATCTCGATGGGCGGATGTCGTCCCTATTCCCGGCGCGTTGGTGGTCAACCTGGGGAACATGATGATGCGCTGGACCAACGATCGATATATATCCAACCTCCACCGCGTGATCAACAGAAGTGGCGAGGAGCGATACAGTGCGCCGTTCTTCTTTTCGGGCAATCCGGACTTTCTGGTGGAATGCATCCCGAGTTGCAAGGGGCAGGCGGAGGCGGCCAAATACCCTCCCATCACGGTGCAGGAGTGGATGTTGGCGCGGTATGCAGACACGTACGGGAATTCGCAGCAGGCCGAAGCTATGGCGGAGCTATCCAGGGATACAGAGGATGCGATCGTTGTTGATCGGAATATAGACTGAGCCTTATTTTGCGGGCATTGGGAGCAAGCGTGTGAGAGGTGCACGTGGATGCTGGTTCAGCTTCAACATGTGAGAGTGGATCTCCCGGCGTTTCGTTTGTGGCCTCAGGTTAGTCACTTGGAAATTGGGTCCCAGTCCCAATTTCAAGGCCATTTTGATAAGCATGTAACTGAACTTCTTTGTAGTAGAACAGCCTGTGATTGTCTGGTATCCGACCGGAGCCTTCGGCTCGCCTGGCAGTAACATGGTGCCGTGATCTGATTCTCAAATACAATATATTTTCACCTCATGCTGGTCACTGGCAGGCAGACCATCAGCATAAACAACTAACATGGCCTGTGACAATACATGTGAAGCTGATTCCGAGTTGTCGCAGTCCTGATAATCTGAAGCCATGAGACCAGTTAAGATTCAAAATGGTGCAGATCTCAGCTCGTGATAGCGATCAGATAAACACGAGTGCTTGCACTGATTGGGACAGGATTCCGATGCAGCTGAGGAAGGATGACTCGGTAAAAATCGGTCCGATGGAGAATCGCCAGTCGGCAATTTTGCCCCCTTCACCCCTCCCCGTATTCAGGCATCAAGGCTGCCACACAGCTTGCCTCGGTACTTACTGCATTGGGAAGCGCCGACAGCCGACGGGTCTCGACCGAATAATCCCAACGCTGCTGGGCTTATTCTCGCTTCACCACTTCCCCCCCCCGGAATCTGGCCTCTTTATAACGCCTCCCCACCCCCTGTCCCCCAGATTCAATTCCACAGCTCTTTTCCACTGTTTGGCTTCCCCCAGATTTTCTTTCAATCTTACAATGCCGTCTCCACCTCCCGATTGGGTTCAGGCCCTCAAGCCGGCCGACCCGCAGGGCTCGCACTTGCTTCAAGAGGAGCGTGCTCAGTCCAACGTCGCAGTGGACAAGCTCGGTGAGCTACTTCACACGAAAGACTTCCTTGACCGTCAAGACAAAATCCTGTCCATTCTCAAGTCGGAGAAAGTCTTCGACAAGTCCGACAACCACACGTTAGGCCGGACCGAGCGCATTCAACGGTCCCTGGCCAAGGCCAAGCGGCTGCATCAGCTGGCTGAGCAGAACCGCTGGTCGGACGCCGAGTTCCACACTGCAAATGACTTGCTTTCAGAGCCTACGCCGTATGGTCTGCACGCCACCATGTTTCTGGTATGTTTGGAACAATTCTCTCCTCCTCCGGTTGGGCCGAATGCTAATTGGCATTGCTTTGCGCTAGGTCACCTTGCGGGAACAAGGCACCCCGGAGCAACACAAGCTTTTCTACGAGCCGGCTCAAAATTACAAGATCTTGGGATGCTATGCGCAAACAGAATTGGGTCACGGGTCTAATGTCCGCGGGCTTGAGACCACCGCTACCTGGAACCCGGAGGACAAGACATTTACCATCCACTCCCCTACGCTGACTGCCTCCAAATGGTGGATCGGCTCTCTGGGACGTACTGCCAACCACGCAGTGGTGATGGCGCAGCTCTACATCAAGGGCAAGAACTACGGTCCTCACCCTTTCGTGGTGCAGATCCGTGACATGGAGACGCATCAGCCTTTGGAGAACGTATACGTGGGTGATATCGGACCGAAATTTGGATACAAGTGAGTACCGACCGTCATGTGCCTGTGTGATGATTATACTGACTTTGCTAGCACGATGGACAATGGTTTCCTTCTGTTCAACAAGGTCAAGGTCCCCCACGTGAATATGCTGGCTCGCTTCTGTCGCGTGGATCAGGCGACTAGCGAGTACCAGCGCCCGGCTTCCCCTTCCTTGGTTTACGGTACCATGACCTGGGTCCGTTCCAACATTGTCCTTCAGGCCGGTGGTGTCCTTGCTCGTGGTGTCACCATCGCCACCCGGTACTGTGCTGTGCGTCGACAGTTCCAGGATCGCGATGCCAAGAGCCACGAAGGAGAGAACCAGGTGCTTAATTACAAGATGGTCCAGATCCGTCTTCTCCCCTTGCTTGCGTCGATGTATGCCCTGCACTTTACCGGTCGGGGCATGCAGAGACTCTACGAGGAAAATCAGACCCGCATGAAGGCCGCCTCGGAGCCGGGACAGGACAAGCGTGGTGCCGGTCCTGAGCAGTTGAGGGCTGGAGCGGATTTGTTGGCCGATCTCCATGCTACGTCTTGCGGTCTCAAGGCATTGGCTAGTACGACGGCGGGTGAAGGTCTTGAGGTGTGCCGTCGTGCCTGCGGTGGTCACGGATACAGCAGCTTCAGCGGCATTGGACCCTGGTACTCGGATTATCTGCCCACACTCACCTGGGAAGGCGACAATTACATGTTGACGCAGCAGGTGGCAAGATATGTAAGTGACGTGATTGTTTCGATATGCCACGACATTTCCGCTGACTGATCTAGCTTTTGAAATCTGCTCGCGCTGTTCTTGCTGGCAAGGGAACCGGCAACGACACCTCCCAGATTCTGCAGACCTACCTCAACCGCCGCGACAAGGGCGCTTCGTTTGACATCCTCGGAAACGATGCGGACATTGTGGCTGCCTTTGCTTGGCGCACAGCTCACATGACCTTCGAGGCCCTCAAGCACCGGGACGTCGAGAAGCGCTCGTGGAACAGTCTTCTGGTCGACTTCTGGCGCTTGTCGACTGCTCACTCCCAGTACCTGGCTGTCAAGAACTTCTACGAGGCGGTCAACTCGAAGGAGGTGGCGTCGGCCGTCGACGGTGCGACGACTGAGGTCCTGCAGAAGCTGTTCCGCTTGTACGCTCTGCACACTCTGGAGCGTGAAGCTTCCGAGTTCTTCTCGTCGAGCGCGGTCACGGTTCGCCAGATTGGCCTGGCTCGGGAGAACGCGGTGATGAAGCTTTTGGATGATATCCGGCCCCACGCCGTGCGGCTGGTGGATGCCTGGAAGATTCCGGACTGGCAGCTGGACAGCAGTCTAGGCAAGTATGACGGCGACGTCTACCCTGATCTGTTCCGCCGGGCTAGCCAGAATCCGGTCAACGATCTGGTGTTCGACCCCTATCCTTGGAACGCGGCTGTCCTCAAGAACAGCCCGCCCAAGAGCAAGCTATAATTTGACTTTGGTTTTCGTCATGGGTTATAGGAGGTGTATATAGATCTAGAAAGTCTACAGATTAGAGGCTAGAGATGAGACGAATACATGTAAATATGAAACAAGATGCTTTTCTCATGCGGTCGATCATCGATAGAAGCGTTTATGCCCCGTCTCGGGGAGGCTCCACTTTCTTCAACAATTGCCGTTGCCCGACAGAACGGATCACGGCTGAACGACATCCGTTGGAGATTTGCCCAGGCCCTGTGCCTACCTACAGTCCACTATCGTTTCAATCCAGGCCCTTATTCTTGGACTATAACTCGGATGCAATGTTCCCACCCTTCCGGACTGCACAACCCCAACATAAGCTTCTTCAGGTGACGTCAAACCTCCACCGTCTCCACCCTGCTTAATAATTACATCCCTGAAGAAAAGTGAAGGCACAATGGGATCATCCAGGCGGGCGAGTATTTATTTTGTGTCTGGCACGGTAGTAATAGCAGGCAGCAGCATCCCCACTCGTCCCTCGCACGCACCCGGTAATACCAGCTCGAAATGAAGCAAATCATCAACCTCCCCGGCCCCAGCTGCAAGCTGATCGACTCCCCGGTCCCCGCGATCAACGACGACCAAGTGCTCATCCGGGTGGTCGTGTCCGGGTCGAACCCGAAGGACTGGAAGGTGCCCGAGCTGGCGGGGAGCGACGACGAGACGTTCGGGGCGCGATACGCACATATCAAAGATGGCGTGAACCAGGGCGACGACATCGCGGGCGTGGTCGAGAAGGTTGGGCGGAATGTGTTTGAGTTCAAGGTCTGCCCCTCTCTCTCTCTCTCTCTCTCTTATAGCACCTATCCATCGTTCTCATCCCGACTCCCACAAAAGCCGGGGCGCATACAACGAAACTAACAGCGACAAAGCCCGGAGACCGCGTGGGCGCCTTCCACGAAATGCTGGCCCCTGGCGGCTCGTACGCCGAGTACGCCGTCGCCTGGAGCCACACCACCTTCCACATCCCAGCCAAGGTGTCTTTCGAGGGTGCGTCCCTCCCTTCCTCTTGGGCCATCCCTAACGTCACAGACTAACAGATAAACAGAAGCGGCAACCATCCCTCTCGCAGCCCTAACAGCCATCGTCTCTCTCTACCACCACCACCGCCTCCCACTCCCCTGGACGCCCCCCGCCCCGGGCCCAACCCCCCAGCGCACCCCCCTATTAATCTACGGCGGCAGCACCGCCGTCGGCGCCTTCGCCATCAAACTCGCCCGGCAAAGCAACATCCACCCGATCATCGCCATCGCCGGCCGCGGCGCCTCCTACATCTCCCGGTTCCTCGACCCGGCAAAGGGCGACGCGATCGTCGACTACCGGGCCGGCGCAGCAGCCACCGTTGCCGGCGTGAAGGCCGCGCTGGCTGCCGCAGCCCCCACCTCTTCCACCCCCTCGCCCTCGGATGATGGTGGCCTGAAACTAGAACACATCCTCGACACGATCGTCACCGAAACCAGCTCCGAGGTGATCCGCAGCGTCGTCGCGCCCGGCGGGCAGGTCAACTACGTGCTCCCCTGTCCGTACGACGTGTCGCCCGGCGTCAAGACCAACACGTGGGTGAGCAGTGCGCACGAGGTGGGCGGGGAGGCGGACGCCAGGGATCTGTGTTTCGTGTTTTGTCGGTGGTTTGGAAGGGCACTGGCCGAGGGGACGTTTGAGGGCCATCCGTTTGAGGTGCGCGAGAACGGGTTGTTGGGGGTGGAGGGGGCGATGCGCGATTTGAGGGATGGGAGGGCGAGTGCTGTTAAGTATGTCTTTCGGGTGGGGGAGACGCCGGGGTTGTAGGTTTTTGGTTTGGGGGGTTCTTGCGGAGGGGGTTGGGGTGTAGATTGGGGTTGAGCGGGGGCTTGTTGTATGAATTGTGTTGTAGATGTAGATGGTTCTGTTTGAGATCAGTTGATGGGAAGACAGGCAATAGAAGGGTCAATGTGAGATGTATGCTGTCGGTGACTGAGGGTGGTTGCGTCGGTTTGAGTATGCTAAAATTCAAAGATTGTGATTGTATACTGTGGATGATTCTCGTCTAGATGGAAATGAAAGAAGTCCGTAATTCTGATAAAATTCTCGATATCGAAGGTATGTTCAACGCTCATCTATGTACAATCTATAACACATTACATATCAAAAATCGACGGCTTGTACACCGACGGGTCGATGTACGGAGTGCCGCCACGTCGGGTGAAGCCCCAACGGATCTGACTGGCCATGGAGATCTCCACGTCCAAGTGTTGAGCGAAGGTCCAGGCCAAGCCGGGATCCTTCTGGAATCCACGGCCAACGAGGATCACGTCGATGCCGTCCTTCTCGATGATCTCCTCGGCCTGACGCCCGTTGGTGATAGCACCAACCGCCGACACAAGCAGCTTGTCACCAACAGCCTTCTTGACTGCAGCGGCGAAAGGAACCTGGAAGCCGGGGCTGGACTTCACCTTCTGGGCAGCGTGCACACCGCCGGAGCTGATGTCGATCAGATCAACGGCACCCTGCTTGACCAGCTCCTGGGCAAACTGGATGGTGCAGTCGTTGTTCCAGCTCTGTTCTGGGAGGACCTCCTCCAGCCAGTCGGAAGCAGAGATACGGAGGAAGATGGGCATGTTGGGGCCGACCGTGTCACGGGTCAGCTGGGCAATCTCCAAGGGGAGGCGGATGCGGTTCTCGAAGGAGCCACCGTACTCATCGGTGCGGTTGTTGGCCGCGGGGGACAGGAAAGACGAAAGAAGGTATCCGTGAGCGTTGTGGATCTCGATGAAATCAACCCCAACCGCAAGCGCGCGCTTGACGGCGGCGACCCAGTCGTTTTTGAACTGGATGATGTCGTCCTTGGTCATCGCCTTGGGCTGGGGGAAGGAGTCGGCAAAGGCGATGTCGCTGGGTCCCTTGACGTTGTCCGGCCATCCGCCGACCTTCTCGGTGGCCACCACGGCGGTCGAGATCCACGGAGCAACGGTGCTGGCCTTGCGTCCGGCGTGGGCCAATTGCACTCCGATCTTCTGGTTCTGGCTGTGCACGAACTCAACGACCTGGCGCATGGGCTCGATCTGCGAATCCTTCCACAGTCCCACGTCCTGCGGGGTGATGCGACCCTCGGCCTGCACAGCAGTCGCCTCGATCATCATCAATCCGGGACCCCGCTGGGCGATCGAACCCAAGTGGGCAATGTGGTAGGGAGTCATGTGGCCATCCTGGGCACTGTATTGGCAGAGGGGAGCAAGCTAGAAACCGCAGAGTCAGCTCATGGCCCATCAAGTGCATGCAGACACAAAACTTACACCGAGGCGGTTTTGGAAAGTAAGACCGCGGATGGTCAGAGGCTGATAGAGCTTGGGCACCGGCTTGCCGCTAGTCTGAGGATTGGCTGCCGTACCTGCGGGAGGATCCTGAGCGGGGGTGAAGTAGGAGATGCCCGGAGCGGGCGCGATATCAACGTCGGGGATAGACATGGTGAGGATGTGTAGATATCTTGGAATATGCCACACTGAGACCGATAAGGGCCTGACCAGACTACCAGCGACCTTTATACCGTCTGGATAGAATCCGTTGGAAACATGATTTGAAATCCAGAGTGGAGATGTTCAACCGCTCGAAATTCGGCATGCAAAGAGTCGGTGGAGCAGCCCCAACTTGCCAAACATTCTTCCTCCAGGGCGGGCCCCTTGATCACCTCCCCTTTCGGTATAAGTCTCCGACCCGAATGTGGCTAAAATCAGGGCACATCATGGTTGGGTAGGTGTGTCAGCAGCACAATTTGTGCAATCAGACCAGAAAGTGTGGGGCTTGGGCCGTGTATCCGTCAATGGCGTTGAGTGCCTGGAAAGCCTCTGATGCAAAGTTTGCCCGAGGCAAAAGTATCTTCCAAGGTGGGCTCCACCAGTGGCACCAGTGGCACCAGTCGCCTTCACTCATATCAGATCACTGGTGCAATTCAGCATTTTCGAGGCAGGGCAATCGGGTGGGTGGAAGTTGTTTCATGCATTGAAAATGTCTCCGATGCGCATCGTTTTAAGCAGTTAGAGTGGAGATGCAGCGTTGCACTGTGTCACTGTCAGAATTCAATTCAATGATTGGCAACTCAAGTCCATTGCATCTGCTTGCTGATTGATCAAGGATGACGGAATTATCTTGACGTTGGATCATGGCATCCAAAGAAGCAGCGAATAGTAGCGATGAAGTTGAGAAGTCAGTCGAAGGGAGAAAGAAGCAAGAACACGTGACTGCCGCGGGGCTGCCCATCCCATCTCAGTTACTCACTACACTCCCTACTATTTGCTGGCATGCAACACTCTTCTTCGTCCCTGATTTCATGTGCAGCATCTAGATAGATGCTAAAATTGAAGCATTACGATTCCACCATATATCGCCATGCTCATATTATTTCCCGGTGAACGAGTTGCAATACAATACAAACCAGGCGGCAGCTAGACACGCAACGCCCGTATATCAATCAAGCTGTACTTGCCTGGTAGGCGACAATCTCCTCAAGCAGCATCGCCTTAGCTTCACACGAAGCCCAGCTCATCTCCACCGCATTCATGGACAGCTGCACCACCTCCTCCTGCGTGAACTTGGCCCGGTCTGCAACGACCGTCCGTGAAGGCTGCCGTCGCTTGCGCCATTGTCTTGACCGTAGCTTGAGGGGCGAGTGAAGTAGCTATCGTGGATGAATTGCGACATAATACCTAGTAGTGTCTCCTCTCTGCTTTGAATGCATGGGTGTACTGAATGTCTTGCGGAAGGTGGAGACTCACCCGGTACTTCAACCGAGACCCAGCCTAACTATGAGTATGAGTATCAGTCTGGCACCGAGATCATCCCACTCACTGATGGCTTTGAAAGGGCTGCTTTGTGGTCTACCTCAGGAACATGTTTATGCCGCTACGGACTAGCTAATCAAATTATCACTAGTAAGTCTGTGTATGTAAGTGTGTACAATACCAAGGTAAGTACCGAGTACCTAAAAAGATACAACCTACAACCCGAATCGCCACAGCCCTACCGCACCCCTTCTCCTCTCCCACCTCATTGTCCTAGATACTTAATCTCTAAGGCCCTCACGGCACAAAAAATACCAAACACGACAAAAGTGCAATAAACGGGCCCTCATCGCCGCCCCCATCGCCGATCAGCTTCGCAAGCGGCCCAACAAACTAGTAGTAGTAAGGACAAACATCAGCTCCGCTCACTCCATCAAGTCATGATAGGGACAAAGGTTGAGGACTAGAGCTCACCTCAGGGCATCATATACACTCAATAAATCGGTGACTAAAAGGGTTGCATAAGCTTAATTGGTCGAATCGCGTGCCGCATACTCCAACGCCACCTTCGGGCCAGATACCGGGCGAGTCTCCACTGAAGTTAAGCCGCTTGGATAGTGCCTTTACAGGAATCCGGGGTAAACGAACGTCCACTATTGATATCTACAATGTTGGTATGTGTATGGGCCTGGGATGGGCCGGCCACCTTCGCCGTATCGTCTTCTCTAATCTCTCCAGCGCCGCGCTTGCCAGCCAATTCTCGGAGCCCTTCGCACCAGAATATCGCACACCTTATACACCGTCTCACATCGGTCTAGACAGTGTCTGGCCCCTCATCCCCCTGCTGCAGGGTGATACGAGAGATGCAGGTCATGAACAGTGTCGTGATTGTGAACCGAGCCTCGTCAGTCACCACCGCTCTAAAGTACCAAACGTACGCTACTCACCAGTTCTTGATCCGGTCATCGCGACCTTACATCGTGTCGCCACACAGACAGATCGCGACCTCGATCTAGGTCAATGGAGAGGGTGGTGGATTCCGAACAGCAGTGCAGGCAGCGGCTTTACGGGGTCACGAATCCATCGTGAGAAGGCTCATTATTGCAAGGGCTAAATTGGGCTGCTATGGTATATGAGATTTCGTAACGAGGCAATCATGCGGTGGTACAAAATCCTTGAGAAGAGGTTCGAGAAAAGATCGCTGCGCCGACAAACGGGCCAGCATGGCACCGCCCTTCAAGCGGCCGCAATCAACATATGATGCTGAACACGCCGGGTATAATAATGAACTCAAGGATAATTGTGCTGTCCTAGATCTGGCTATCTGTTCAGAGGTGGAGTGCGTGATTCAGACAATAAGTATCATACCAATCAGGTGTCACATTCCTATGTCTAGTTGGTTCGCTTGAATATCGGCATATTTCGACTTCCCCTTGGCCCTTTCACTTGATTTGTGCAAGGCATAAATCCTATGTTGACCAGATATGACATGCTTTTGACAATGGCCTCCACAATCTCCTCCCGCTCAAAGACTGGCTGATGAGAGCCATCCACCACATTGTTCGAAAATTGCCACTGGTTGTCTTCAAACCACTGCAGCACGGGGAGAAATGGATGGTCAGATCTCGAATTGACATCTGAGCTTAGTGCACGCATCCACTCGTCGTGTGGCATGATTTTCACTGTATTTCCCGTCTCTCGCTGCAAGATCGCACATAGCTCACCCAGTGTGATACCATCCCAGCAGTCGATGTCACGCTTAGACTGGGGCGTTCTTCTCACTGTGCTCTCCACTACCAATCGTGCAATCTGATCAACACCAGCTACAGGAATGTGCGCGTTGGTCAATTCCTCGCTGATCGCGCCAAGACTGAGAATGCTGAACGCAAGGCGCCACAGAAAGTCCTCCGTATGGGCGACGCCTTCGGTCCTGGTCCCAACAATATAGCCAGGCTGAATTGTCTGCGCGGGTGGAACATATGGGTTCTCAAGCCCGTCGACATTGTTGTTGTACTGCTCTACTAAAAGCCTCGACAACAACTTGGTCTGATCATATCCACTGGCACGTTCAAGCTTCCTCGCAATGTCTTCTTTCGATTCATCTGCTGCGGGAAGATATCCGCCTGAGACATAGGTCAGAGGACATGGACTGGATCGCATCGCCACAGCAGAAAGAACCTCCACGGTACTGTCAACATTAGTCGGTCGCAGAGTCTCATAAGAGTCAAGCCAGTTGACTCTCGCTCCGTTGTGGATAATACCATCAATCCGTGACTTGCTAGACTCTTCAGTGAGGCACTTCCATTGTTCTGTAGACAGCCCCAGTTTTTCCTTGCTCAAGTCTCCAAGCCAGATCTCAACACGCGGGTCCAGGCTCCCCGTCCACCATTCGCCGATCTCGGCATGATATCGGATCTTACTCTCGGCTTCGGATATCTCGTTTGCCCGGACTAACCCTATGATATGTCCGACACTGGGCTCCGCGAGCAGACAGCGCAACACTTGACTCCCCAGGAACCCGGTAATTGATGTCACGAATATGGTCTTCTTGGTGTTGTGAAGCGCTTTGATTCGTGGTAGGATATGGTTTAGCTCGTCGAGGATATCCACTGTCGTCTCGTTGTCGGCCGCTTCGGCGCCACCATGGAATAATTCTTCAAGATGTCCGATGGTTAATCCTGGCTCCTGCAGTCTTCCGACCCTGATGTTCATCCCCCAATCTCGTTGCATAAGCCCTGTGAGTTGCGCCATCTCAACGGAATCAAGCCCAACACTGGAGATTGGAAAGTCATGACCCCGGAGACACTCAGCGACAGGATCCTGCCTGGCTTCCAATATATCTGCGACTATGTTGCTAATCTTAACAGAAAACTCTCTTCTCGGATCGATCTTCTTCCACTGTGTCATAGAGGAGGAGCCTGGTCTGTGCGCCACTAGCTCTGTGCCGTTCATTCGGGAGATTGCTGCATACAAACGCTGTCTATCTTTCTTCTTCGACTCGTTCAATGGGATTGACTCGATGGGTATAAAGACCGAGGGTATCATATACGAAGGCAATTGCCCCTTCAGTGCCGCATGCATATCGTTGGCTAACAACGGATTGAAGTCGTGAGGGGTTTCGATGTAAGCCATAATCTCCGGATTCTCTTCTTTCCCGCCAGCACCGGCCAGAACGACTGCGGCTTTACGCGGAGCAATCACGGATTCAATGACCCTCTCGATTTCAGTCAGCTCCACTCGCATGCCACGGATTTTGACGAAGCCGCTCTCGCGGCCAATAAAGATGGCGTTGCCCTCATCATCGAGCTTGGCAAGATCACCGGTTCTATACATCGGACACTCTGCGGTATCTTGGAACTGGGCATACCACCTCGGAGTCTCAATGAATGCTGAGGAAGTCTGGTCTGGTTCGTCCAGATACCCCTTCCCGAGATATGGGGTTTGTATGAGTAGCTCGCCTATAGCGCCGATGGGGAGTAGCCTTTCCACATTGTCAGGATCCACAATCCAGCAATTGACTCGGATGCCTTTCCCAATATCCTTGGGGTCATTCCCTAGTTTCATGCCGGTCTTTATTGTATCCCAAACTGATGTTTCCGTGGTGCCGTACATGTTATTCAGCGTGACGCGTCGAGACCAATTGCGCAGAATGTTTGAGCTTGGCGCATCGCCGCCCACCGAAATGACTCTGAGTGAAGGTAAATTTGCCGGCTCAAGCTGTGCAACCACTGCCGGGGTCAGGACGGCATCTGTAATTTCGAGCTTGCGCATGGTTGACTGCAGATTTTCCACTCTTTCTTCCGTCGATGGCACACAAACAGTTCCTCCAACAATCAAAGGCCCAAAGAGCTCCAAAATGCTAGCATCAAAGGAAAACGAGGCATATTGCAACTGGTTTGTGTCCGAATCCAGGTGCAAGGCCTCAGTCACGTCTTGCAAGCCTCCAGCGACTGTTTGGTGTAGGTGCACCACGCCTTTGGGTTTGCCTGTACTTCCGGACGTGAACATGATATACGCAAGTTGCGAGGGGTCGCTGGCTGTCTCCGTGCGCCAATTCTCTGGGACCTGCAGCTGCCTGAGGCTGGAGAGCGTTATTTGCTCGACATCATGACAACCTGACTTGGTCACTTTGTCCGTGAGCGCCGCCCCGGTGATTAATGCTTGCAATCTCGACTTCTGGGCAATATAGGCCAGTCGGTCTCCGGGACATGAAACATCGAGCGGAACTAAAGCCGCTCCTGCACGCAGGACACCTATGATGACCACAATCGCCCATGCAGACTTTTCCAGATAGACTCCGACCCTGCTGCCTGATTTGATGTCTTTGGCTACTAGTTTGTGGGCTATTGCCGCAGACATCTTGCCAAGCTGTTCGTATGTAAGCTTTTCAGTGGTACTGCGTATCGCAATGTTCTCAGGGCTTGATCGGTAGTGTCGATTGATCAATCCATGGATTGTATCGGGTGATCTCGGGGTCAGGTCCGCCTGCCATCTTTGGAGTTGTTGGATATCGTATTCTGTGGTGAGATTGAGGTGGGCTATCTTCAAAGACGGGGTATCTGTCATTGCCTTCCATATGTTTTTATAAGTCCCCACAACGGCTGACAGGTCGGCTGATGGCTCGCTGGCATGGGAGTACACCCGGGCAGTGAACCCCATCTTCGTCGGATGAAGGCTGACTATCATTTGATACTATATTCAAGTTAGTCATGAACTCAAGGCAGACTGACAGACATACCTCGCGCCCCGAGAAAAATTCCTCCGGGTATGTATCTTGGTTCTGACCGATGTATATTGCAGACATCGACCGCTGACTCTCCGAACTCGCGGCCGCATTCACATTCAACAGGGAGACCAAAGGCTCTTGCAGGGTCTTGTCCCCATCAATGTGGTATGACACTTGATGAGACGCGACAGACTTTCTTGTGGATTTATCGCCGTGTTGTCCTTCATTTCGAAGAAACGAGAAGCTCACATTGTCCTGGTGGTTGTAGAAATGCAACAAAAGCGCCCAAGCGGATAGTGCGTGAGCTTCCAGCTTTTCCAGTGTAACACCAGGTAGGTCTACTGATTGAGATGCGCGAGCCTTTGGTGGTGCCTTGTCTTTATGGCCATCGTGCTGGGGCGTGATAGTGGGGTCTCTCCCATTCTCAGTAGGTCGATATGAATCAGCCATGATGTATAGCAATCAATAGGTACAAAGAATAAGATATAGTAGCAAGTGTTCGTTCCTGTTGTGCTATATGGAATTGATTTCTTTGAGACCAAGCAGATTCGTGATTCATCTTATACTATCAACACTGCGTTTCGGAAGCAAGTCATTGCCTGGAACGGCAGCCGCAACCTTTCTTCAATTCAGACGCCTGCAGCCCCATCCCTTGCAGCCATCTCCACACATCTATCGTGAGGAAGCATGGCTCCTATACAAGACACCTACGTCGACTAGAACAGCCACGTTGCATGTGAATATTATATACACTTCTCGATTGAGACGATGGTGCTCATTCAAGGCTATGTTGGTGACGTCTTCGGATACACAACTTATTATTGCTTTCCTGCTATAGTGAACCTGCAGGTCCAGATCTTATCGACCGAGCTGGTCAGCTCATCGGAGTGCTTGATATGAGCTCGGCATATCCACCAGCACTGATATCTTGCCTGCCATTACCGCGATATTTTAGGTAGTGTTTCCAACAACTCTCCCTCCTCAACAATGACGTCCCCATCACACGAACCCCCAAATCCAGACCCTCACACAGCATTCTTTTCCCCTGCAGTATTCCTTCTAAAAGTGTCTCGCTTGAGACTGCATCTGATCCACACACACCTACAACACACCATCCCCCCGCGAAGACCGCAAACCAAAGCCCCGTCATCACCCTCCCCACCTCTCCATCTAGACCATACGGAGTATTGTTGAGAGAGACGGCACTTGCCGGGCTTATAGCCGAACCTCGCTATGGGCGTTTTGGCTGCCATTGCACGCACAACAGCCTTTCTGGATTTTCAATTCGATGAAATGACTCGGGTAGGGTGTGGTTTATGGATGCATTTTTTTAGATCTTGGTTTGGATGGTGGTGGGCGTTGGTGGGCGTTTTCGTCGGGGTTTACTGCTGAGTTGGGTTGGTTTCGGGGATGAATGGATGAGGCTATTGAGATGTAGGTAGTGGTTTTAATTTTCGTTGTTTTGAGGGTCTGAGAGGGTTCGCTGAGGGTTCGTTAAGGGTTCAGTGGGGATTATGGTGGGATGCTGTATGCACAGGGGGGGCACGGTGCAGGCAAGTCTAGATGTTGGGATCTGGACAAGTGGGTGAGTACGCTGGCCTATGATTGGAGGTACTTTCGCTTTGGCGTCCAGTCCTATCATTTATTCATTCCTTTATTTCTTCGGTGGTGGTTGTTTAGTGTCTGGAGGCTTGGGGTACTGCTGGGGAAGGAGCAGGCGGAGTAGACGAGGAGAATAATGGGAACAATGGGAACAATAGGAGCAGTGGAATAGAGAACTTCTCCATAGTTCTTAGCAACAAGGCAAAATATGAATCAAGCTTGGGATTATACGATCGATTCTCGGCGTTGATTGCTTCTATGGGGGGCTTCTGAAGATTTGGTACTTTTGAAAGTATACTCCTCGCATCTCGCTTAATGTTGCACCAGACAGAAGTATGAATAAAGAGGACAGTACTGGTCATTCCCATTCACCCTTTAAGACTGAGCTTCCAATATATGGTTCTGGTCTTGCAATTCAGCGAGAATTTACAGCATTTCGTGCGGAACATGCCTGCATGTCCGTCAGAGACCTCAAAGCGCGTGGTTGAAGATCTCCGATCAGCTGAGACTAAGCGCTGCAGCGATCTATAGCCCGACGCTTATATCAGACTACAATTACACCCCCCTGCTCCTTCTCAGATCTACTCCTATCTGTTACTATCCCTGCTGTGTTCTACTCGCTCAGTTGATAGTCACATCCAGACGGGTTCCAGACTCTTCTACAAGAGCACGACAAAACCCATCCCACAACCGAATCTCCCCGTGGTGAAAGCCTAACAAGAATGGCAACACCAATACCTTGGGGATATCTGGCCGGGGAGCTGGTCGCCATCTGGCTCGCGTTCGGCGCCGCCTGTGTTCTCGGATCGGTTACCTGCGCGCCCCTGGATGCGTTCGGGTACAATATGTGCGGCAACGGTTGGTACTGGTTTTACTGGCTGTTTAAGTAGATCATGGTGACGCTGGCTGTCTTCAATGTCGTGGCGGTTTATCTGAAAAGAACCGATCCCGTGCTGGATGAGTGGATGGAGTTACTGTGGGCCTGATGCGCCTGCCTCTGCCGGTCTGCCATGGCTGGAAGGATATTTATTCTATTCTAGAAGGGAGGGGCAAGAGGGACACTAGACAATTTGCTTAAGAAATATCTTTTGCACCGCTTATTGCTGCTAAGAAGGATCTGCAGCATCAGTAATAATAGATCGATTCACGTGGTGGTTTCTTAATAATCATAGTTGACATTTGACATTCATACGTATTTAATATATTTAATAGAAAAATACTCATCTGACTATTCAAGTATATTATCCATGCCAAGCTTGAAGGTGTTCTGGATTCTCTTTAAATAGCTTGTGCTTGTGTACAGTACTTGGTCTAGACATCCCTCCCATGCCAAGAATTTTCAGTATACATCATTCTGCTCTCCTTCTTCTTTGCTCCCTTTACTTACTTACATCCCACAGCATGATTTCTCACACTATCTCCACACCAATCATTCAGTCTAGCTCATATACAAGATGATAAGGGCCATGACTGATATCTCCCCATCACCCTCTGGGTGTAAGCCTTTATCATCAATATGATTCTCGTCTTTCAATCCAGCAAGACTTTACAGCTAATCCCGGTATTCCTACGGAACGTGCCTTCAGTTCCTTCCTCTCAAAGCGCATAGCTGATGATCTCCATTTCGAAGTTAAACTTCAAGCTGCACAGATCGATAGCCCGATGCTTATATAAGACAACATGGAGTTTCCTGCATCTTATCCTCTCGCATCAACCCCGACCTATCAGGACCCTACTCTGCCCTACTCAGTAGTCACACCGACATATTCCTGTATCCCGCATCCTCGCCACAGACCAGACGTTTCCCTGAGCAAGGAATCAGACAGAAGAGTCGCAATGTTCGCCGACCCCCTTATGGATTACCTGACCCTTATCTGGTTCAGTCTGGGCAGCAGCTGCTGTGCCGGGTGGCTGTTCTGCCTGTTCCTCAACCTGTTGCGGCGCAACATATGCGACGACTATGAGTTCTGGGAGGAGTGGCTTTACACATGGTTTGATGTGAGTATATATTTCATTGTGTTCTGGGCGTTCTGGCACACCATTATGAATCACAATCCCGATCTCGAGCTGGATGGCGTTAGGTGAGACCGGCCTGGTTGCCCCACTCCCCCCCTCCCCGCGTTTTATTTTGTCTGCTGCCCCGCACGGATGGGCCCGGTTTCCGGAGGGGGTGTAGGGCCTAGCACTATTCCAGGTGTACTGTATTAAGTTGAATTGCTATGCCTGTGTTTGAGTAATAGCAAGGGAAGCACGTGGTTTCTTGCACAGTTCCTGCTCCTCTCTAAGTAGTATCTTCTCAACAATCAACAATGACATTCATATTTGGTCAATTCAACAGAACAATGCTAACGTCACTATCGATACTATCATAGAATCCTGGTTTGTATGTATACACACTGAAGGTCTTCTTGATTACCTTTTACGCCGTGCCGCAGTCTGGCATCGGCCATACATCCCATGCCAAGCACCCCTCACGCGTCATTCTACCTCTTCCTCCGTTCTTCTCTCCTCGCATCAACAGTATCTTCCCACGCTATCTCCGCCTCAATCGTCTAGCCTGACTCATATACAACAGTTTCATCCCGTTTTGTTCATTGGAAGATAGGGTCCCCCCCCCCCCCCCGCCCCCCCAAAAAAGGTCAAAACACAATAACCCCAGCCACCGCCACCTCCCCCGACCGGGCTCACTCTTAACGAATAAACATAATACTCACGCCATAATCAAACTCATCCCGACTTCCACTCTCGATTCTCCTTCCCTCTTCAACCAACGGATGGACAGATTTGAGACAGCATGTGGTTCCTGCAGTCAATGGGTTGAAACAGAGGTCCCACCGCCGAGAGCAGGCCATCCTGCCTTGTTTCCGTACAATATGCGCACACACTGGCAGTGACTACATACTACTGATGCTCCAGAACCTCGGCACTACTTGGTAGGTGTTTATGATCTGGAAGCCAAGCGGATTACAATCAGAGTATTACATTTTGGCACAAAGGGCTACGGATCTCGCACCCGACAGACAGGCTCCGAGCGCATCCCGCGAGGTTATATTATATACCATAACCCAATTCATAGATTGACATACGACACGGGTGGTTTATACATCCCCAGTTCACTCTGGCTGAGTATCTACCTAATGCGTCACCTGTTCCACATACGAACACGATTGGGCGAAGCCCAGGGATAGGGACAATATGGAACGATTGCCTGGTATTCTTGGTGGTGTACTGCCGTCGTACGGCATAACTGTGAATCGCTAGATCACGTGACTTGGACTCGGAACCCTCGGGACTGCTGACACGTGACGGCATTGTTTTCCTGACGCCATGCGCAGGGCTTTTCTTTCTCTGGGCGGAATCCCGGCTGCGAAGGCTGCAGAGACTCCACACAAATGTGACCGATATCGGGCCCACGCGTGCAGATGAGAGATACACCCTACCTACGATAGCAAGCAAGGTGCCTAGGGCGTAGGCACCGTGACAAGACACGTCGTGATTATGTTCAAAAAGAATCAAAAGGGAAAAGCATAGGTCAATGAAGCAGAAGCCTATTCACACAAGTCGAGCAGATGGCAGAAACAGCCTCATACAAAGATAAAAACCTCAACACCAGTGACACGTAACAAAAGCGCCGAGATGATGGTTTATGCAGCAAATATGCTTGATGCTTGGCCGCTGCAGCAATATCCAATCACGCCGCCTCAATGAAAAAAGAAAGTTCTCAGCAAGGTACCAGTCCCGTAACACAGTTCGTAAAAACGCCGATCTTGATCCAGTCAGTCAGTCCCAAAGATGCTGTCTGCAGAAGTCCCCATATTATACATGTCCCCACGCAAGTGCAACCAGAGATGAAGGGTATCTTATGTATTTTCTCCCAAGATGCTGAACAAAAGAAAAAAGAAAGAAACAAAAAAGGGATCAGCGTTCACCAACTTTGCCATACTCCTGTTGCCATTTGAGGAGATGGCGCGTGAGTACATCCATCATTTCGACGCTGCTCAGTTCCTTGAAGTCTTTCTCTTTCTCGATCGACGTCGGCCCACTGGCGGCATCGCTGTCCGAGGCCGTCGCGCTGGCCGGGTCAATGTCGCCAACGGCCAGCGCCAGTGCACTCTCCAACAAACTGCCATTGACTCGGGCTGCACCATTGTTGGGAGGCGTTGTGCTCTCCCCGGTCACAGCCATTTCGACCTGCATCCGTGAGATGAATTCGAGAATAGCCGTCACACGTCTCTTCATCTCATTCATGGTGGTGCGCTGGTTCACATAGCGCGGCCGACTGGGCTTGCCGGACTCTCCACTTAAATGTAAGCCATTGATCCTGGGCGAATCGCTGCCGATGTCGTGCGACTGCCCGCGTCGCGGAGATCGGGTCGAGAAGTTCGAGTCCGTTCCATTCATATCCCGATCCCGAGTGTATTGGTTGCGGCCCACGCGGCCCCCGCGACGGGCAGGTGGACGGCCCGATTTCCGAGTGGCGGGACGCGATGGTGCCGGTTCTGGTGCAGGGGCGGGTGTGAGTTCAGGGCTAGGTGGTTTGGGTTCGGGGTCGGTCGCAACTGGCTTGATTGGCGAGCCGGGCTCATTTTCGGACTCTGCCTCGTCTGCGTGTGTTAGTCATTCTGTCAAAAGTACTCATGGAATACACAACCTACCATCTTTCGCCTTGTCGGACCTGGCTTTCCTGCGGTTTGCAGCGTCTGCTGGTTCAGACTCAGGTTCTTCGGTATCCTTGAAATCCTTATCGCGCTGTCCGCGCGATGCAGCCCGTTGCCTGCGAGCTACATTATTGACTGGTTTGGGCCTGGACTCATCTTCTGAGACCTGTTGAGACACGGGATTGCTTTTGGAGACTGCGCCAGGTGAGGGTGAGCTCGTGCGCTGGCGTTTCGTGGTTTGTCTTTGACTGTCTCAGATCAGTTTGACGATGACACTACCAGCATCATGCGGGATGACATACGCTTCGCTATCACTGCGGCTTCTTTTTGGTCTCCGTGCAACAAGTTCATCCCCAGGTTTCGTTTCTTCCTTGCTCTCTTCGATTGCACGCCGCAGCTGCTCCTCCTCATCATATGCTGCGTCCCGGCTGTTCATTGTGGATCGGCGCTTAGGATTGATAGCTCCGTCATTCGATCTTGACTTTGTGTCTTTATTGCGACGTGAATTATCGCGCGATGATTCTCTCGACGAGACGGCAGTGGAGGGAGGTGGGGGAGCGACAGGTAGATATTGGGAGGAGTATGATCTGTGTTACTGTGAGCAGAAAAGCAGAGAAGGAGAGAAGAGACGTGGGCCCATAGATGACTGCAGTCCAAACAAAGACAAAATCTCCAGTTCTTGCAGCTGTGACCGGTGTCGCTAATACGGCAAAAAATTCACAGCAGCGAGCAGTCCCACCAGGCAAGAAGAAAAAGAGGCTGCCAACACGAGTGCACGCAAGCAACGAACACCAGCAATGAAAACCAAAACCAAGGGTGCGAACCTACCCATTTATTTCATTGAGGATTTTGTGCAAATCCTTTCGGCACTCCTCGCAAAAATATTCATCTGGGCTCATGGCCTCGTCCATGATACCCACGCAGCCACCGTGCTGCCAGACTTTGCAGGAATCACACTGAATGAACATGCTGCCGATGTCGTCCGACATCAAATCAGCCGGATCGGCAGAGAGACCCAAGAGGGCCTCGTCTTTGATGCCACCACGCAGTCCATTGCGACCAATTGCCTCCCGACGCGATGGGGGCAGACCCGGGTACTCCTGTTGTCCACAGAGACAGCGGGTGATCTCTTCCTCTTCGTCCTCCTCATCTTCACCGTCGTCGTCGTCCCCGTCGGCGAGTTTCATCTGATCGTTATCCTCCTCCCCTCGAGCACGCTGGCGCTGCCGCGTCTCTCTGTAATCCCCTTTCGAGCCAATGTCGGCGTCGTCAATCGACTGGGATCGGTTGGTGGAGGATCGCTGAGGGGAGGAGATCTTGTGGTGAGAGCGAGTGCTTCGTTCGCGAGTCATTGAGGTGGAGGAGCTGGAGGAGTTGGTATGTTGTAGGATGGCTGGGGATGGTTGTGAGGTGCGAGCACGAGAGGAGCGCCGAGGCGTCATGGTGGGAGGAGGGTGGTGGGAGGATAAAAATAGCGGGAGAACTCTGCAGGAGACCCCAGCCGTGCGTATAGGAATATAGAGGGGAAAAAATATATAGATAGAGATTGGAGCACAGAGTAGAAGCTGAGCACGCCTGCCCGTGAACGATCAAGCTGTCGCACACGGGTGGGAAGTGGTGGGATTCAAGAGCGACGCCCACAGTGGTAGTCGTGGTGGTGGGAAAGACGACCAGAGGATGCTGAGAGTAAAAAGCCGGGCAGATCAAGGAAAGGAAGCTGGCAATTGGGAACCAAGGCAGGGAACGATCCGAGAACAACGCCTGCAAGCTCGACTTCAGGCCGAGGACTACATAGTCAGAGGGGAGAGAAAAGGTGGGGAGAAATCGGCAGAACAAAAGAAGAGGAGGCAGAGGAGGAGAAGGCAGAGGAGGGAGCGAGCGAGAGGAGGAGGGCGAGAGGAACAGACGGACTCCAACCAAATGACGGACGGCCGCCGGAACGGGACCGACGACTTGCTGCTGCTTTCGATTCTGCGCGCGGGATTCGCTTTGCGGTCAACGCGCATTGGCTTTAGAGTCATTTCTTCCCCGCTCTCTCTTCGCTCCGTCTCTTCCTCCATCACCCCATCACGTTTTCTTTCTCGCGAATCTGTCGCGTCGCCTCATTTCGCTCGGAATCCTTTTTTCTAAAACCCGTGATACTTCCTCAACTCCGATCTTTCCTCTCAGGTTCCCCTCCTCCCCCCACAAGACCTTCTCTTTCGTCTTGTTCTTGCGCATCAGGTGCCCGGGGAGGAATGCGACGATGCCTCCCATTCCAATGCCCTGAAACCCCGCTTACCTTCCATGCACCTCTGTCAACATCTCTTGATGATTAGATGTCTAGGCCATCCTTCTGTTTCTCTCTTCACCGTGTTCTATATGCTGCAAGATATGCTACAGATACAGGGTTCCTACTGCTCGACACCCAAAGAAAAAAAACATGGAGTGGGGGATTGTCCAAATGATACGTACGCTGCAAGCCTCTACTCACGGCATTTTGCAACGAGCTATCACTTCAAAACCCCTTTGGCATGATTACAATCCCATTCAACCGAGATGTCAGACGATTCTCTTTCGGACAGCAGTTGCATCGCTGCCCCATCGCTGCCTACTTCTCGACGTGTCCTAAGTCCCCCGATATCCATCAGATCGGGTATATTTCATGTGAGAAATCAGGGTCGCGAAGGATGTAGGTGAGGAGCGGGTGGGTTTGTCAATTCGTAGGCAAGTGATGGGTGACGGTTGGCTTGAAGCAGGGTAATCGGCACCGCGATTGACTGGCTATGCTAGTTGTGGTCAATAGTGATCAGAAGGCTGGTCCAGGACTCGGCAAAACTCGAGTATTCGTTCACTGGGTGGAGATCATATCCGACAAAGTTGCGTAGGATAAAAGCACCAGGAAATGCCAGATCAGTATATCGAGCTGGCTGAGCCAGTTGGTGGTGAAGATGACGATGGGAAGCAAGAAAAGTGCTGGGACTGGGTTTAGTTGCGTCTTTGGGCGGGTGAGGCCATCGCCAAAACTGGACTAGCTCTGGCCCGCTCTTCTGCCTCAGGCATTGACCAGGTATCCGCAGCTCCTCAAAGGGAAAGCGGATTACTTATTGGTCATTCATAATAATTATCGACCGACGATTCGATTCCACCACCCCTCCGCCTTCTTCGTCCCCTATACCTTAATGTCCCTTCCCCCTCTCCCCCTCTTCTTTCTCCCCAGATTTAATCTACTCCGTATATTTCGGCCCTCACTTGTCTGGCTGGGGCCTTTCAATCCGTTCCTATTCCTCCGAGTTACTCTCCAGGTCCGGGGTTGGGTTGGCCTCGTTTCTCGGTCTGTCCCTACCGACACCTTGGGCTGAGTCAAAGTCTGCATGAGCGGTACCGGTGCATGGTCAACAATGTGAGTCCCTTGCTCTCATTCGGCATTTTCTTTCGCACTTGCCCTGGCGGTTGAGGTCTGGTGGAAGTGGACACCTTGGATGCACGCTTGGGCAGCGGTCCGGTCAAACATCGTGTGGTTCCGTTTGCCAACGTAGGGGAAACATGACAACTAAGTGGGTGTGCCAAATCAGTGCCGGTTCACGACCTACCCGCCGTTCCTCTCCCTCCTTCCTCCCCATAAATCGCCTTTACCCAGTCGGTCAGACGGAATCAACCTTCTGGGAGGGGCCTTGACGGGGGACCATTTTAGTCACCAAAAAAGCTGGGACAAGAAAACAACGCGGACAATATTGTTGGGGTTGGCTGTTCGGAGAAGCAAAACGGCGTCTCGGCCGTGATTGTGGTTGAAGCGAGTTGAGAATTTTGCAGCATGACTGCTACGTTGAGTATGTCTTTTACCAACGACTTCTGTTCCTCGGGAGAAGGAACGCCGGGCGTTCTTGGTGCGTACAAATAATGGAAATTGCCCCCGAGGCGGGCCACAGAGAAGGAAGGCTGGAGGGTCTGCTGGCTGCTGGGTTGCTGATACTGTTCACCCGCAGATGGGATGTTCAATGCGGCTCCTGATACACCGTCTCCTGTCTACCCGGATCGTTTAATCCGTCCTCTCCCTAGACGTACCCTTCGCTCTCGCCTGTCCTCCGAAGCGGCCGACTCGATCCTCTTCCCTCCGGCCCCGGCAACACAACTCTTCTACGGGACCTCGGTGGATAGCGCGGATCTCGTAAATGACACGAAGGTGTACGTGCAACAGAGTGAAGGTCGTGATCAGAGCCCCGAGCGTGACCACCTCCATTACGAGAACGGAGTAGAGCTGGAGAGCGGCGATGAGGACGGGCCTGTAGTTGTTCGACGAAGTGCCGGTTTTCGAGGGTCCTCCTTGTCCCCGTCGGCCTCCAGTGCACAACCTCAGGCCGTCCCCACCAACGGGGACCGGGCGCCCGTTAAGTCATCTTCTGCGGGTCCTGATGGGTACGACGCGTTTGAGAACACTAACAACAAGAAGAAACGCAAGATCCCGACTCCAGGCAGCCTCGGGAGCCACCATTCCACGCTTTCTCCTGAATTTTCCACCATGGGGCTGGCCAGCTCGGTCCAACCCTCCTCGGCCAGTGAAAGCAGCCATGTGAGTACATTCTACGGCACCGGGAGCCCCGCGTCGCCGGTATCCAGTGGCATGTCCGGGGCCGGCAGAGGTCGTCTCGGTCGTCAACCGCATCGCAGCAACGGCCGAAACTCTTTCTCGCTCCACTCACCGATCAGCTGGCCTCGGACCCCCAGCCGCCGGGACGGTTTGTTGTCCTCCCCTGGGCCTGCAGGTACGCAAACTTCGTCTCCTGGTCGACTAGACATCTGCTTATTTGTACTTCAGGAGACTCGTCCGAGAAGCCCGACCAGGGTATCATTTCAGCGGCCATCGCTAACGCTGCCGCGTCCGCGTTTGCCCCTTCCCCTGCTAGTCCCAGCCATGTCAGCATGCTCGAACGACACACTCCCACGCCTACTAAGACACAATTCACGTTCACGTGTGAATCCGATTCCTCGAAAGGCATGGCGCTCCAACCTCCGACTCTGTACCCCGCGCTCCACCGGTCACCCTCGTCTCTCCCCACTGCTGCGCCCAACCAGAGGGGCCCCTCTCAAGGAACGCAAACGAGCCCCCACATGGCCGCTCAGCCCAACACACAGGAATCTCAGCACCAAGTACAGCAACCGCAAGCGGGCACGGGTGAAGCTCCTGCGGCGAGGAAGAAGAAGCGATCGCCGGGCAGTATTTACGCTCTGGCTGCGCGTCAACGCAAGATACAGCAGCAGTACGTAAACCTCCACCACCCCCCGAGTATTGAGGACATCTGGATCTGCGAGTTCTGTGAGTACGAGAGTATTTTCGGACGTCCACCGGAGGCCCTCATTCGGCAATACGAAATCAAGGATCGCAAGGAGCGCAAGCGACTGGCGGAGAAGAAGCGACTGCTTGAGAAAGCCAAGATGAAAGGCCGGAAAGGCAAGAAGGCGACCAAGAATGCCACCAAGCAGGCAGCAGCTCAGCCGGCAACCTATGACCATGGACACGATCGCGCATCTGTGGATCACTCTGCGACGGGAGGCGGGGCTGGAGCCCATGAGGATGAGTATGGGAGCAACGAGCATGAAGAAGAGGCGGACTCAAGCCCACCAGCACCACCACCTTTAGCTCCACCGACAAGTGCCAAGGGCGCCTTACCACCGAGCAATGCACCAAAAATGGCGGCGACGGGGTCGGGCGCTAAAGGGATTGTTGACGGAGAGACGCGGCCACCCTGACAAAGAAGCGATGGCGCTCGGGTATGTGACCAGTGAGCAGCCATTGCGATTGTTCGGTTTTGCGTCCTTGTCTCTTGATGTTTAATGGCTTGTTCTGTTTTTGTTCTGCGTGTTTGAAAGTTAGCCTTGCTTTGTTTTGTGTTGTTTTGCATGGAATGAATCCCCGCTCTGGTCGATGAATGTCACGTCAGCGTCATGCATGGTTTCTGGTCCAATTGGCATTGTGTTTCAACATTGATACATATTGGAAGGATGGGGGATGGACTGGGTTGCATAGTTGCATAGGATTAAGGTTTGGCTGATTGAGTATCAATAATGATTGAGGTCTGATGGCATGTCAGGTTTGAGGTTTGGCAGGTTTGGCAGGTTTGGCAGGTTTGGCAGGTTAGCATGGTTTAGTAGTAGCTGTCTGGTGTATATGCAGTCTAGGTAGCAATTGGGCGGCCTAGCAGCTAGTGTTAGGGAGGCGGTCAAGATGAATGAGATGAATGAAGAAGCCGTGCAAGGGAGGCAGGCGGTTAAACTTTGAAAGCTGAAAGATTTTCATGTTGAAGGTTGTTTTGTAGTTGATCCGCCAAGCGAGGATCTATTGGAATCCAGCCACCGACCGCTGAGACGGGCGCTTTGTCTGCACCAACCATTTTGCTGGTGATCTAAGCGCCGCCTGTCGATCTGAAACGGGGCCGTTGGAGTGTGCAGAACCCATCGGATTCTCGCAGTGGCAGTGGCTGACTTCAAGGTTCTCTTCGCGCGCGTTTGCGGATGCAAGGTCTACCTGGTAAACTCAAGCTATAGTGTTTCAACCCTGGGGAGGGGGAGTTCCTGAAGAAGATAAAAATAGGTGTTGAGGAGGGTGGTCTGGTAGCCGTGGAAGGATATAAAGAGGTGAAGGGGATTGTTCAGCAAGATAGCAAACAAGCCAGCGCCGTTCTTTCACTTATTGTTCTTTCTGTGTTCTGCTTGTCGGTCATTGACATTCTTCTCTACATAAGCCTGAGTCTGCATATTGACAGTACATCTCGCGACCATCCTTCTTCACATATCAGACATTTACCCGAGACAGCGTCCATCTTTCCTTGATTTTGGTGTCCAAGTGACTTTCTCCTTCTTCTCGTCTACATAGATCCTGCTTCGGCATATACACATACACATTTGAACAGATACAGACCCCTCCAAACCTGGAGTTGTCCTGCGCCGGCGCATACAACACCATACCACCACCACCACAACCACCACCACAACCAACCACCAAGGCCTTCCAAGGATGTGGTTCCTCCTCCTCCGCCTCTTCAAGTTGGGCTTCCAAGCCCGCAAGACCCACAAAGCCAAAAAGAACGGCACCTACGACCCTTCTGGTGCATCCTTCCCCCTGTCCACGTCCAGCAAAACCGGCACCACCACCACCACCATCACCACAAATAACATCCCGGCGCACCTCCGCTACAGCCAACCAAAACACTACCTCAACCTGTTCCTGCACATCCTGCAACTAGCCTTCGGACTGACGGCGCTGGCCCTCTACGCGCACCACATCCACACCATCCACGACTCCGCCCCGACCGCCTCCGCAGCGCCCAAGGATGTGTACGCGATCGTGACAGCCCTGCTAGCCTGCAGCACCGCGATAGCGTACCTCGTGCTGAGGCACTACATTTTTAAGGGAAGGGTGCCCCTGGCGCGGCGGGAGGGCTGGCAGCTGCCCCTGTTTGTGTGGGACGCGGTGCTGTGTGTGCTGTGGTTGACGATGTTTGGGATCTTTGGGACGGAGTATCTGGGCAAGAAGACTGCCACCGAGAGTGGGGAGAGCAGGAGGATGAGGCATGCGGTTTGGGTGGATTTGGTGAATTTGGGGTTGTGGGTGGGCTCCGCGGGGTGGACGGGGGTGAGGTGGTGGGGGAATCAGAGGAGGGGTACCGATAGGGAGGGGG